TAGTTTGTCTTGTTGAATATTTATTTATTTATTTATTTATTTCCTGCCTTTATTATTTTGACAAATAACTCAAGTTAGCGAACATCCAACCCATCTTCCTCCTATTTTCTCCACACTAACAACCCTGTGAGGTGAATTGGGCTAGGAGAGAGTGACTGGCCCAAAGTCACCCAGCTATTCACTGATGTTACCAACAGCTTGAAAGGACACTCTGTTTTCAGATAGCTTTAAGTAATAAGTAATAGTAGTAAAGTTATATAAATACAAACAAATAATGTTACGTACCCTGGCCCTAGTTTATCTGCAGACCTGTGGTACTTTTTCCTTAAGAGTTTTAAACTCCACTGCTTAACATTTATCTTGTGATGATTAGTGGTTGTACTTCTGTGCAGCCAGTCTTCATTTCAGGGAAATAAAACCTCCATAAATTCCTGCAGATAGGAAATCCAAGCAGGGGATTTGGCTTTCTTCACTCCTTTGTGTGTCCAAGCAAACCCATCATCTTACTCCAGGGCCAGTGCTGCTACTAATTAAAATGTTGGTGCATACAGTTTATGTTGCGTATTAGGAGTACATGTTTTGCTCATTTGAGCTGTACCTGAACAGCTTTGGCAACAGTTTTAAGAATCTACCAGATGTTCCTTTGGAGCTTGTGATTCAGTGGCCTCTTAGAAAAGTACGATGTGCTTTTATGGATAGTCAGTCATTCCTGCCTGATGAACACATTGCAACCAGTCTTTGCAATTTCCTTGGGAAATATAGGATAGCAGAGGTATTAATAAAAACAAAGGGCATGATTCAAAGGATGGACTTTCCCTTGTTTTGCTGGAAATCATGTGTGGAGCAATACAATGTAATACATATTCATTACCATGACCCATTATTACAATGCACAGGAAACATGTATAGGGTGGCCTGCATTTCAAGACAAATTATGGCAAAAGTAAGCGTGAAGTTAAAATGCTTGTTTTATCCTTGACTCGTTATGGCCAATTTTCTTCTTCTTTTGAAATGTCTGAATCTCTCAAGGCATATCATTGGTCATTACGATTCCATCTGGGCTATTTGAATGGCATTGGAGTTTGAAGAAAGTGAATAGATTGCTTTCCTGGTCTTTTAGCCCTGGATCTGGGAGTTCCAGGTATAAATTCTGAGATCTTTGTCAGAATGCAAGCATTAACCTATCGTATGTACCATGTTTGCATGCATTTGAAATGCTTTGGATGGAAAATATGTGTATTTCCTATAAAATCTCCAAAAGAGCTGTGCTAGTATCACCTTCCTCTGGCTACCAGTAAATTATGTTAGGAAATCCAAGTTCCCCATAGTAGATTTTACTCATTTAATTAATTAATTTAGGTAGTCACTGATCAACTCCAACTGATTCTCAATATAATACATCATAAAAAAAACCCAAATACAAAACAGAACAAGATGGGATCCAGTCAATCTGGACAGCCATAGACAAAGAAACATCCAACAAGGGGCCAAACTCATCTCAACTCAAGGCCTGGGAGGACAACCAAATCTTCATCGCAAAGAACCAGTTTGGTCTAGTGCAGGGGTAGGCAACCTTGGCTCTTTTATGACTCGTGGACTTCAACTCGTAGAATTCCTGAGCCAGCATTTTGGGAGTTGAAGCCCACGAGGCATAAAAGAGCCAAGGTTGCCTACCCCTAGTCTAGTGGTTAAATAAGCCAGGAGACTGTGAGTTCTAGTGCTGCCTTAGGCATGAAAACCATATGCGTGACTTTGGGCCAATCATTCTCTCTCAGCCCAGTCTACCTCACAATGTTTGAAATAGGAGGAGGAAGGAGTATTTTGCGCGTTCATCACCTTGAGTTATTTATAAAAATAATGAAGGTGGGAATTAAATAAAATTAAGAAAAAAATTGGTTTACAGAATATCAGCAGGGTGGGGCTAGATGGGTTTCAGGGAGGATCTTATTCCAGAGGGCAGGCACCACAACAGAGAAGGCACACTTTTTGGATCCTGATAGATGGCACTATGTAATCCAAGGGACCTTCATTGTGTCAATTTTGTTGGCTCATGCTGGCTAGGCAAAAAACATGGGGACAGATAATTTCTCAAATAAACTGGCCCTATGCCAGGTAAAGCTTTATAATTAATAGCCTTGTATCACATCCAGAAGCATACTGGTAACCAGTGCAGCTTCTGGGGTAGAGATCTCATGAAAATGTGGCATGTCCTTCTCTGTCTACAATTCTGCATCACTGTATTGTGGATTAGTTGAAGTTTCTGATTGCTGCGGTAGCCCTATGTATAGCACACTGCAGTAGACAAGTCTTGAGGTGAATAGAGCAGAAATGACTGACTGAAATAATAAAGGTGAGTGAAAGACCTTCCAAACTAGGAAGAGGCACAAATTTTCTTTTCTCTCTCCCTCTCCCCTCCCCTCCCCCACACTTGTGAAGAACCTTTCTTCTTCCCAGTCCACTGGCATAATCTTATGATGGATCAAAGATCATTCTATCATCAGAGTAAAACCAATTGTTTCTTGCTCATAAAATTTGGTCGGTATGTGGCTGCTCACTCTGGGGACAAGCAATCTGTTGTTTGGGGCAATAAATTGCAGACTTTTTGATCAAGTATAAGATTATTTATAAGAGTTCTTGCCTGCTACATGTGTTATTGTCCTAGATTTCTCAGTGTTTTGACCATTGAATCCTGCATATGTTCAGTATATAACATGCACCATCGTGTTGTGGTATGTGGACGAGAATGTTTATTTTGTGTGTGTCAAAGTTTTTACTGAAAAAGTGTGAAAGACAATGGTGAACAAAAATTTTAAAGTAGAGTGTGGCTGTCTGCTCAGTATGGGGTTGTGGATCAGATTTCTATTGTTTAGCTGTTCATTAAGAAATGTGTGAAAGGAGACAGAGTGTTATGTTTTGTGGGCTTAACGACAACTCATGTGAACAAAGTGAACAAATGTAAAATTAAAGTTTGACTGTGGATTGCTGTTAAGAGCAATATGTGATAGAAATAAAGCACCATAAGGATGACTGAGTACAGTGAAATAAGTAGTGAATAATGCAAAATTGGGGAAGTATAATGTCCTATTGATTGTGTGATGAACATATAGAAAATATGTAAGAATGTTTGTGGTGATGTGTTTCTTGGGACATGAATGTGTATACAGTGTTGGTTGAAAATTTAATTGATAAACTGTATGATACAAAGAAGAACTATAGATCTGAAAATTATTGTATTAGAATTAAAATAATGTTTGTCTGAGTTCTCTGGTTATTTGAAGCTTGGTTTTGTTGCTTGCAGCAGGTGGAGTTTTGCTCTGTTAAGACTTAACTTTAAAAAAAAAACCCACTGACTAATACTGTAAGGTGATCCTGATGAAGGTTAACTGTATGGTTTCATCTTGCTTTCCCATTCTTCAGAAATAACCTCCATTATGGAGGAGCCTAATCATCTCTATGTTCAGGTTAGTCTTCTTCCTCCCAGGTAATGTTACTTGCTGAAAGACTTTCCAATAAATATTCACACAGATACTTAGCACAGCCTCCTCGTCAGGATTAAGATATAATCTTACTTTCTAAAGCATACTTCAGTATTCCTAGGAAAGCCAGGATTGTTTGAAGTAGCACCACCTGTTTTACTCTATCATTTCTCACGCCATCCGCGCTGCAGACGAACATCAACACTTTACCTCCTGCCTGTGTGTAAATTGCAAATGTTAATGCAATTCATAGAAAGGTTCATCAGTTTTGGAAACCGACCACATTCAGTTTCTGAGGCAACTTAAACTTGACTGAAGAAACTCATAGGCCCTCTCTGTAAGATCAAGGATGAAACTCCTTGTCTCATTAGTTATCTAATGTTCTACTCTCTCTCTTGTTTTATTCAGAGAAGAGAATGGAGGGCTTAGTTCTGCTTTGCATAGGGGTAAGAAATATGTATCCAGCTATACATTCCCATTTCCTCCTTGAAAAAAAGGGGGAAAGGCAGAAAATATTGGAGGATTCAATCTGGGTCAGTCACTGGGACCAGGGGTTTAGTTATTTCGAGCTTTTGGACTCATACTGGAGCCCATCCTCAGGAAACTTCTCTCTAGCAGAATGTGTGCTCTTTCTGGCACACTCTCTGCTAGAGAGAAGTTCCCTGACGATGGGGTCCAGCAAGAGTCCAAAAAGCTCGGAAGTCTAAACCTCAGTCAGTCCCAGTGACTGACCCAGATTGGATCCTGCAACATTATCCTGTGGTACATATATTTGTTTTCATTCATAAAAAAATATTGGCTTCTCTGGCAAACTGGGAGACTTAATTGTACTCCCAAAGAATATCCACCTGTAGATTAGCCCTTCCCTCTCAGGGTTGCCCAATAGAGGTCTCACATGTTTACTCAGTAATATAATGATAACCTGCATAATTGATTTTGCTTAATCTATAATCTCAGCTATTGAGGTAGCCTGTGACTGCAATCTTGGTCAACTTAAACGTACCTCAGGAATACAGATTTTAGACAGATTTCCATTCTGCGTGCAGTTATTTCTTATGTAGTGCAGAACAGGGTCTCTTGGCTAGCTTCATACATGGTGCTAAGTCATAATGGGCTTTGGTTTTGTCAGAATGTGATGTGTGAATCTAGCCACAGTAGATCAGACATAGTTTATGGATAAGCACCAAATGTAGACTCAGCCAGTCATTGTTTACTCAACAAATGATGGTTAAATAAAGAATAGCATAGTCAGTAGATCATGGTCTTAAACTTATAGCTTCAAAGTGGTCTTTTTTTCCACTGGATATTTTCCATAGTATTTTGCTTCTACATCAATTTCTGTCATTCTAATAACACGTTTTATCTTCCCATTCTAAATTCAGCTGTACTCCCTTACTCCATCCGATGAAAGTGCCAGATCAGTTACAATGACCTGTGTCTTGCTGTATGGATGTACTTTTAAATTCTAACCCAAAAGGGCAAAAAGTGAGTTTATGTCTGACTTTTCTCCATTCTGTGTGGCAGGAATCGCAACCGAATCCACGGCATCGAAGCCAGCCAGTTGGAGCCCTATGTTTCCCTGGAAACATTAGACCTCAGCTCAAATAACATCACAGAAATCCAAAGTGGCTGTTTCCCGGTGGGGCTTCCCATAAAGGATCTGTAAGCTTTCTTTCTTTTTAAAATGTTTTATGGAAAAGTATTCATTTATACAAGAACAACTGACTTTCAGGTTACTTTGATCTTTTAAAAAAGGGTTACCGATTATAATACGGTTAAAACTCAAATGAGTGCTGTTCATTTGCATCTCTTATATGTATATCATCTCTAGTATCCAGTTCTTTCATTGGTCATGTTATGCTTATGGAAGGAATGGAACAGGGATACTTGGTTTTTGCTCTCTGTCATCAACTTCTGCCTCTTCCTATTGAGCTGATATGGAAACTGAGTTTTTCTGGCCATCTTTTTTTTTTCATGGCCTCTTACAGTAGCTGATATGAGAAGTGTGAGTAGTGAAAGTGCAAAGAACACTAAGTTCAATTATATTCTGTCATATATACCTACCACAAATAATGAATAGATGAAATTCTTTCATCAGGTTTTTAAATTAAAATGTCTTTCTTATTTTCCCTAATTACTTTGAATTAGAATTAAAATGCTAATGCTGAACATTTCATAATGCTATATATGTCCATTATGATGAATACATTTTTTAAAATGAAGAATCACGTCCTCTGATTTCTGATGCAACAACATGTCAGAATTGATCATTAACCAGTGGGGGCGGGATATACAGTGGAACTGTTTCTGTGCTGTCTTTCTTTACATTCAAAATGGTTGAGACAAAATATGGGAGCCAAAATTCCCACCAGTAAAGAAGAAAAACTTTGCCCTTTGCTTCATTCCTTCATCAATTATTTTCAGCTGTATAGCAGTTGAATGGTACTGTAATAAATGAAAATGAAGAGTGAGAGTGTAAGAGAGAGGGAGAGGGAGGGAGAGAGAGAGAGAGGGAGGGAGAGAGAGAGGGAAAATAAACTTATAGATAAGTTGAGAATTTTAGGTTCTAAACTACTCCCTCCAAAACTGAGTTTGGATGATAGTTTATCTGAAAGTATGGCCTTATCTGCAAGTATATATAGCAATACTTTTTTAAAGGACCCATATATATTTCTGGATAAACCCATCAATGGATAAGACAACCTTCAAATACTATTAAATGTATCACTCATAGATAAGCCAGTTATAAAAATCAAAACATTTGAATAGTTTGAGGGACTGGAAATACGGATGATTAGTAGATCACTAGATTTATTGCAATTAACAATCCCAGCTCTCTTAATTTAAGAATGTTGTCTTTATAAAGATTGTGGCTGGCTGTATGCCATTGGCTTTTCCTCTTGTACTATTATTTTACATCATTGTTGCTCATCATACTTCATCCATTACTCTGTGTTCAGATCTGTTTGATAGATTTTGGAATTCTGGTTAAATAGACAAAGAATTTATTATCTCACTAGACTTGCTGTTCTTTCACATCCCTGTGAATGAAGACGCTGTCATTCCCATTTTAAGGATGGCTAATGTAATTGAAACTAATTTCTTCAGAAGGCAATGTTTAATCTACGTGGAATGCAGTTGTCCTACTTTCACTATGCTTTATTATACTTAGTTGTTGTTCAGTGGCTAAGTCATGTCCGATTTTTAGTAACCCCATGGCCCACAGCACACCAAGCCCCTCTGTCCTCCACTGTCTTCTGGAATTTGTGAAACTTAATGTTCATTGCATCAATGACATTATCTAACCATCTCATCCTCTGCCATCCCCTTCTCCTTTGGCCATCAATCTTTCCCAACATCAGGGTCTTTTCCAATGATTATTAAACTTACTGGTAGACAATGTGTGTTGGTTCTACTTTTGGTTTGGCTTTGATTCCTGTATGGACATCCTTTCTCATCTGGACTACTGCTCCAGAATTCAAAGCAAGAAAAAGAGGATACAATTCTGGAAGCTTTAGTTCATCAAAAGGCATTTGAAGAGGGGAAGGAGACTGGAAGTGCTTCAGATCGGAGGAATCTTTTAATCACCACCTGCCTATAAATTGTGCAAAATGGCTTGATTGTTGTTAGAGCAGGGAGACATTTGGTTTCTGAAAACAGCATGTCTGATGTCACCACCTGCTCAGATAAAGAAGGATTAATCAAGACCTCCAACACAACCATTTTGAATGTTCTGTTATAAATTATTGCAGCTACCTGGGGAACAACAAGATCAGCATCCTAGACACCAAGGCTTTTAACAGCTTGTCACGATCCCTGCTGACACTTCGCCTGAACAAAAACAGAATTGTTCAACTTCCCGTCAAAGCATTCAAACTGCCCCATCTAACACAACTGTGAGTAGAAATGTGCAGTTTAATTATAACTTGCCAAGCTTGAGCTCCCTAAGGACACCTCACCAAGCACAATCCTTCAGCCTGCATGTGTGAAATGTTGATTAAAACATATCCTAGTGGTCTTTTGTGACGTGAATGAAGTAAATAAAAAATTGGGTGTGGCTCCACCCAGGATTGATTTTTCAGCTTACATTCTTAATAGGACCAAAAGAAAGGAAGGAAAATATCTGAGTATTCATTAACTAAAATACATGTGATAAATTTTCTTCCTTATGTCAAGAGGCTGGCTTTCACTTTCTGGTTTGTACTTCTATTTTGTGGGCACACAATTGAGAGAAAAAAGCAGGATTAAGAGGGCTTTCTTAAACCCTGTTTTCACGTGCGATGTTCAAACTGCAGGGAAGAAAGATTGTAGAGTTGACATTTAGGTAGACAAAGAGTGCTTTTGATGGTTAGCGCACATGTTGTTGTTTGTTTGTCCAAGGTACAGTGTAGGTTGCATTTGATCTGCATCTGTGACAGTGCTTTATGTACATATAATTGACCTTTGGCATCAACATTTGCTTGCTACTTTCTTGAAGTTTGGAACCCAACTCAAAGGGTAGATTCAGCATAGTTAGTGTAAGATTTCATGTAATAATACAGGTAGTCCTCGAGTTACAATGACAACTGGGATAAATATTGCCATTGCTAAGTGACGCAGTCATAAAATACAACATCATGTGAATACATCGCTTAGCAACAGCAATCCAGGCAGTCCTAGTTGTCGTCATAACCCAAAGACATGTGGGTCATTAAGTGAGAAGTGGAGGGAGTCTCAGGCAAGGAATGCAGGATTGTCACAAAGGGATGTGTCTTGGGAAGCCCAGTGCAAGTTGCGCGCATGCTTGTGTGTGTGACGTGATTTCAGGGAGGCCAGGAAAAGAGGACGCTGGTGGGTGTGTCCCTGTGTGCAAGTCCAGAGAGGTTCAGAGAAGAAGGGGACTGGTATTGTGTGTGTGTATGTGAATGCAAGCAAGCCCAGGGAAGGAAAGTACTGGTGGATGTGTGCATGTATGTGAACACAGGGAAACCAGGAAAGGAGGGAACAGGTAGGGACTAGCAAGCACAGGGGAAAGGAGGGTGCAGGGTGTGCAAACAAAGAAAAGCCAACAAAGAAGGGAAGTGTACCAAGCAACCTGTGACCTTCCCTGCCAGCGTCCCTATTGACTTTGTGGGAAGCTGGCAGAAAAGGTTAGAAATGTCAATCACATGACTTTGGGATGCTGGAACCAGTCAGAAGTATGTGCTGAATTTTGTTCATTTGGCTACAGCTTTGAACAGTCACTGGACAAATGGTCATAATTTAAGGACTACCTGTAAAAAAAAAATAAGGGAAATTTTTAAAACTGAAATAAGCAAGGAAGTATATTCCCCTTCCTTTTTAAAATCAAATTAATAGCGTTTGGGCCCATTTGGCTTTTGTGGTTAATTTAATATTCTTTTATTTTTTCCTGTTTTTTTGTAATCAGATTACTTTTTCTGTTCAGATGACTCACATATTCTTTTTTTTGTTTTCAAAAATTCAAATTTATGCTTTTGCTTATAATTGAAATAAATGGCAGAGGTGGAAATCCTGTGGTCTTCCAGATTTTTTTAGGCTATAGTACGAATAATCTCTACCCACTGGATTACTCAGATGAGGTTTTGGGAGGTAGAAATCTGGCCTTGTGTACCAAATACTTATGGACTACATCTAGGGTGTCAAACTGCCGGTCTGCGGGCTGCACACATCACGTGGAAGGCCGCGCCCACCCCATTGCCAGCAATGGCAAAACCGGCCCGATACGTTGCGTGATGTCACGTGACGTCGCGAGTTTGACATGCCTAGACTACATAAACCATTCATTGTTCCAGACAAACCATTTTTATTCTAATCAGCCTGAAGTAAATTAGATTGATTTCTTCTATACGTATACAAAGAATTTAATAAATAGCAAGATTTTGAACCATTTTCTACAAGAAATAAATGTTAATAGCGTACAATTACGTTTATATTAGGAAGAAATACAATATATATTGCCTTCTGTTTGTGGTTAAAAATCTTATGGTTGAAAACTTTGATATTTTTACAAGGTCACTAAAGGAATCCCATTGCATTCTAAAGCATGTAATTTTTACAAACAAAATACTGTAGAATGTATTTTATATATAAGTAGAATGTATACATTTTGACAGAAAATGGGTCTAATGTAAGGAGGTGCCACTCTGTTTCTCATTTACCTATGCCTGGCTGTTGCATTGAGAAAGACTTGAGTTAACATCCTTCTGTGCTGTTGGTCATTTTCAGAGAGTTAAACCGGAATCGTATTCGTTTGATAGAAGGGTTGACATTTCATGGACTGGACAGTTTAGAAGTTTTGAAGCTGCAGCGCAACAATATAAGCAAGTTGACGGACGGAGCTTTCTGGGGTCTGGCCAAAATGGAGGTTCTGTAAGTCAATAGTTATGTTAATAGATTTTAAGGAATACTGTATTTCTTTTGACATTTTCTTTGGATGCCAAGGAAGTCATCCTCCCACATCACAGCACGACTGCAGACATGTGATTTTTGGTGCCTGAAACATCTGCTTTTGGGCAATCCTTTTGAATGAGCCGAGGTGGCGCAGCAGTTAGAGTGCAGTACTGCAGTACTGCAGGCCACTTTAGCTGACTGTGTTCAGCAGGTCAGCGGTTCAAATCTCACTGGCTCAAGGTTGACTCAGCCTTCCATTCTTCCGAGGTAGGTAAAATGAGGACCCAGATTGTTGGGGGCAATGTAAATATATATATACATTGCTTACTGGTGTACACCGCTTAGAGAGTGCTTGCACTTAAAGCGGTATATAAGTCTCATAAATAAATAAATAAATAATGAAGTGGAATCACTTCTGGGAGAGCATATATACTTTTGCTGTTATTTGTGTAAAGGTACTCAATTTATGGCCCAAAGCCATATTTGCACTCTCTCCAAAGCTTGGTTGTAATTTTCGAGTCCTTCCAAGGGCTACTTCTGCATGGTGGCTCTTAATATAAAGGAAGAGGAAATCATTAAATACATGGACAGTAATGGTATTACCTACATTTAGTTCATTTAAATTCCTTTAAATCAAGGTTATGTTGCCTCCTAGTCCTGAAGACCTTTTCCAGTACAGACTTAGAGTGTAAAAAGATTATATACCCCTTGTTTAGAAGTTTGATTTAGTAACAGGGCTTATGATAGGGGCAGCACTGAGTGGAACTCAGAATCAGTGAGTGAGTGAGTGAGTGAGTGAGTGAAGAGGGAGGGAGGGAGGGAGGGAGGAAGGAAGGAAGGAAGGAGGTCCTTAGGTTATACTGTAAAACTACAAAAAACATCCCAGAAACAGGCACCAGCAAAGCACTTTTGTTTCATTGCCAAAAGAACCATATGAATATTTCCATGCAGTCAACAAGGGTCAAGTTTGACTTGGAGGTGGCTTTCCTTTTATCAATAACAATGTTAGGGTGTTGGAACACCATGCAAGGAATTTCATGTCAGCTATAATCCCAGAAGTCAAATAAGCATGTTATTTGGATTATGGTTTTTTTTTTCCTTCTTCATTAGATAAAGAAATTGCAGATTTGGGGAATTTTGTAGTAAAAATCAATGTCGGGTACAAATTTGCGTGCCATTTAAAATGTCCAACTTGGTCTTTCATGTAGGCACCTGGAGCACAATGTCCTCACAGAAGTGAACGGTGGTTCCCTGTATGGCCTGGTGTCCCTTCAACAATTTCATCTGAGTAACAACCTGATATCCAGTATCAATCCCGCTGGATGGAACTTCTGCCAAAAGCTGAACGAACTGTGAGTTAGCTAATTTGGGAGGCAACAGTTGATAATAAAAATAGATACTCTGGCACTGCTATATGTGTAGGCAGTGCTTTAAGAAAGAAAAGTTTTTAGAAGATTCAGGTTTTGTAGAATGTAATTATTTCTCCCTCTTTTAAAATGCTAGTTTTTAATTTAGAAAATTTGGGACTAGCGTATATTAAGGCACTCTTTCTTCCACAGTAACTATCAGTAACTATGAAGTTATTGGCTGTATCTTTTCTTCAAATACCACTTCTATCAAAGAAATTTGTTTCAGCTAGATAAATTATTTTCAACAGTCAGCATCCATATATTAGTTTCCATCGCTAGCAAGCCTTATCTGTCCCTAACCTCTCTTAAAAAGACTTTTTATGAACCTAGATAAATATGAAACAATTACTTATTTGATACTTTTAAAACTTTTCTCCACCATCTAACTGTGCTTGGTCGATTTGTATATTTTAATTATAATTATTTTAATTTCAAATATTTATAAAACACTGAATGGACTGAATGTATGCATGCATGCACACGTCTATACATTTGTACATGCATATATGTTTTTTTAAAAAATGTCTGTGATGCTATGAAGAACATCAATTGATGTCCCTAGAGGTCTTTGAGATTTTTCTTTAACCCAAGGGTTTGACACTTTGTTTGCTTCCCTTGTTAATGTCTGTTTTAGTTTTATCCAAATATCCAGATAAAGAATATTAAGAAAGTTATTGCAAATGTCTTTTAAGGATACACATTCAGTCATTCAAGGGACACAGGTGTTGTGGATTTATCCAGAATACAAGGAGCTTCACAAATCCCTTAAGGGAGAGGTTTTTCTTTCTAAATCTGAAATGAAAATGTGTTTTTGGTAAATCTACATATTCCCTTATTCAGGCTGTCAAGAGGTACAAAATGTGAGCGAATACATTCCTCTTTCTGGCTGATTGCAGAGGGATACTACAAAGCTTTATTTTGAATTTTGCTCTTGGCTAATTCTAGTTGACGTCAAAAAAGAAACGTGCCTCTACAGTTCTGACAAAAAAAAAAAAAAACACCTGCTGCCAACTATAAGAGTTTTTTTAACAGTTGTGCTTAGCACTATCTGCTAGCATTGGATTTCTTCTGTGTAACCCCCTCCGTTCCCCCTTTGAAAAATTCTTTCATCACAGGTGAGGAAATAATGTTGACTGGTTGCCATCTCTTCATAATTTGACACCACAGTCTCCTTGGGAATTAATTTATGTTGTTCCTTGCCTTTTGGAAAGCTTTTCCAAATGCTTTCTTCCATGGCTCCTTAGTTACTATCTCTGTGCACGTTTGCAAAAAGCATGCCACTTGTTTGCGAAGGAAATAATACCCTTTTTACTTAGGAATGTTTCTGTCCTAACTGTCCTGGTTTTGGCAGATGTCATTAACTATTATATCCCACACTTCAGCATAGGCAGTCCTTGACTTAACAATTGTTTGTTTAGTGGCCGTTTGAAGTTGCAGTGGCATTGAAAAGAGTGACTTACGACTGTTTTTCACACTTACAACCCATTGCAGCATCCCCATGGTCACAGGATCAAAATTCAGACACTATCTGCCTCATATTTATGACGGTTGCAATGTTCGGAATTTATGTGATCACCTTTCGGGACCTCCTAACAAGCAGTCAGTGGGGAAGCCAGACTCAATTAACAACTGTGTTACTAACTTAACAATTGCAGTCATTCACTTATCAACTGTGCCAAGAAAGATCGTAAAATGGGGCAAAATTTACTTAGCAACTGTCTTGCCGAGCAACAGAAATTTTGAGCTCAGTTGTGGTGGTAAATTGAGAGCTACCTGTATTATTAAAGCTGGATAGAAGAAATTGTTGACACTTTTGCCTCACTCTCCTCCCGGAATTTCTTTTGTAGATTTTGTCTCAAAACTACAAAAACAAACGCCAGGGTGTATATATAAAACATTGCTATTTTAGGTTGGCTTATTTGAAGAGAAGTTGCTCCCAGACTAAAATGCAACTCAACCCTCTGCTGAAGCCGTAGGTACATAATTCATGGACCTCACTGAGCTTCCTACTTTTGAATTCACAGCCTTTGGAGCATGCCTGGATTGCACGGGGTCCACATTTTTGTTCTATCTTTTATTTGCTGTGGATGGAGGAAGTCGGAGAACTTTTAAGGGGAAGGGGGTAAGGGAACTGGAAAGTCAAATCAGTCTTTATTGTAGTCAGGGATAGGGAGTTTTGAGCCTCTGTACGATGCAAGGCAATCTGAGGGATTTCCCCCAAATGTTGCTATTCTGATGCATGAAAGAAGAAAATTAGGAAAAGGAGACAGCAACTTGCGTAAGAAGTTCAGTTAGTGGGAAACCATAGTCTCCTGATATTTTGGAGCTGACCATTTATTATGACTGAGATCAGATGGCAGAGAGACAGCCCCTGCTTTGCAATCCTTCCAGTTCTTAGGCATTGCCTAAGTTTCATGACTGAATCTGGAGTTTTGGGGTATATGTTTATAAAAGATTTATATGGCTGCCCATCTTGAGCAACACTTGGTGGCTTACAACAATTAACTCAGTAAATCAAGCAATCACAAAACAGTAAACAATTGTCACGATTGTCCCCCTAGGATGCCTCACTGCAGGCTCGGCCACCTTCCTTCCATACTATCTGCTTATATAATCCTATCCCAGCATCATAGTAAAAAGCCAAGTCTTAATAACCTTCCAAACTGCTAGAAGGATATATGGATATCTGTTTCCTTGGTTCAAAGAAATGTGGACAATTATTTCAATGATTTATCAGGATTGCTGTACCGTAATATAACCAAGATCTTGAAGTTAGCTTGAAGATAACTCACTCTGAAAGCAAATACACTTTGACTTTGCCAATGACTAGATGGAATAATTGGGCTTAACTGTATGAATAAATTCTGAGAACCTGAAGGAGCTTTTGGGTTAAAGCCATATGTAAAAGTTAAATGAGTTAGCTTCTGGCTTTATTTTGCCCATACAGTAAATACTTTATCTGACTTGGATATTCTTGACCCTCTTTCCACAGAAAAGACATTTAGGATATTCATGAACTAAATTATTTTCAGGACAAAGGAACTATCCAGTAGAGTTATCATCAAGAAGAAAAAAATAAATGTTTTACACTGAAATTTTGCTTTTTTTCCCCTCAGGTCCTTGTCATTTAACAACTTAACCAGACTGGATAAAGGAAGTTTAGCAGATCTGGGAAGCCTGGAGATCCTTCACTTGAGTCACAACTCTGTCAGTCACATTGCCGAAGGAGTGTTTAAGGGACTCAAAAGCTTACGTGTCCTGTAAGAGCTTTTTCTTTTTGTTTGTCAGGTTAACTCTTGAGAGGAATAAAAGGGATAGGTCTTGATATTTGCTTTTGCTTTCTCTTAATTAGACAATGAATATCCCAAAGGTGCGTTTTCCAAAGGCAACTGGACTATCTTGGGGTGTTTTTTTTCTTTGATAACCATTTGCTTATCTTCCAAGATACTTCTTCAGTTCTGACTGGTGAGGAATGGAAGGATTTATATTCTTTATGGTCTTCTGGTCATTAGCAGTTTGAGGATCTCTAAGCTCTCCAGAGTTATGGAGGCCCCTTGGGGGTTTAATCTGTATCCTCAGAGTCACCTAAATTAGAATACAAACGGGTGTGGAACATTCTTGGGACGACTGAAAGTCCTGGATTGTAAAAAAGAGATAGTTGGTGTCTTATTTCTTCCCCTCTGTTGAGAGAGGACTGTTCAATTTTGACATAGATGGCTTTTTTGACTCCTGTTTCAAACAAAAGGAAGTGTGTTAATAACCAGATGACTGCAAATAATATAAATCCTTCCATTCCCCAACCAGTTAGAACTGAAGAAGCTTCTTGGATGAGAAGTGAAACATTTTTAAAGAAACCCCCACCCCCCAAAAAAGTCGAGTTGCCTTTTGGAAAAGGACCTCTTTGGGACAAGCATGACCTGGATGATTGAGAATCTCCATAAACATTTAAACAACAATATCTACCCCAAACTTAGACTATGTGGATGAATTGAACCATAGTAGTTGTTGGTACTGAGAGGACATCAGCTGAGGATGACCGTCTCTCCATTTAACGGCTTTTGGGAAACTTCCAGTGTAGCAAATATTGCCTCCAGACTCAACTAAAGAAGAAAAATGCCATAAGTGTGTTCAAGGAGACATTTTACCCCTTTACTTAATGGGATATTTCTTCTTTAGTTCAGTCTCTGCTTTTACTGACTTGTCATTCCATGTGCACAATTGTTGATACTTTTGGTTTTGTGAAATCCTTAGCTGAAAACCAGAATAATTTTATAGGATCCTTGTTGTTGTTGTTTTTAAATAATGTCCTTTCACCAAATGAACAGTACTCCAAATTACTTATTTAAAATTCTTTTCTCCTAAGCTCTTTTGAAGTTGAAGCTGAATGGAAAGGAAACACAGACTTTCCCCCCTTGGTTACTGCACTGTGCAGTTATTTATTCCTTTTATTGAAGTTAGGACGGGCTTTATGTTTCTTTGCCTTTCCCAGACCCACTTTTCAATCCCATGCCTGTTTTCAGAAAGGGCTTGCTCCTAGGCAGCTGGCACAGAAAAGGACGAAAGACTTTCCCAAACTGTTTGGCTTGCAGCTAATTCTCCGTCTCCTTTTGTGTCCAGTACACAGAGAGGAAAGGAGGGCGGGAGAACAAGTTCTAATTGAATCAAGAGGAAGGCCCATCAGTCCCTGCACCTGGTGAAAAAGAGCTGGGCATGCTTTAATTGCGATCTATTGTTGACAAGCCTTTGGTGGGTGTGAAACTGCTGAAATGAGAAGCTATTCAAATAGAGGTCAGTCCCAGAGACCTCACAGCAGAATGATTAACAAGGCAGTATGCTTTCAGGGCCAGCCAGCCAGAAAGAATAGGAAATTGGCAACAGAGGTTGTGAGAAAAGCAAAAGAGAATGCAAAGAAAACTGAACTAGAATACTGGATTCCCCCCCCCCCCATATGTTGGATTTTTTTAAAAAAAAAATATTTATGAGAAAGTGTGCTTCTCACAAAATGATGTTCTTCTTAGAAGAACCAGAAGAGCGGTAAACTCTCTCTTCACCTTTTATGCAAAATACAACGTACAAGTCAATTATTATTATTTTTTTTTAAAAAAAGGATGTTGCAGAAATCTCAGCCACACACCAAATTCCCCTTCAGCTCATCTCACACATATGGCAAGACGATCATGTGCCATTTCCCAATCTTTCAGAGATCAATTTCTCTTTGCAGAAAGAGAAAATGGAGGGAAACGAGGAGCTTACTCAATAAAGAGCAAATGACTCCATGCAAAACGTAATGCTTGATGTTCATGCTTGCATCTCAACCCCTGGACTTTAAATGCTTTGCCATCTACCTCTAGATCCCATTTTACTCCCCTGATTGCTTTATTGCCTTTATTACCCAGGGCTCACTCTTTTGATGTTAGTGGGGGAGGGGTGAGGGGGAGGAGGAACTTTTGGTAGCCATGTTTATATCACCCAGCTGAGCTATGCCCTAAAGCCTGGGAGCCCCCTCTCCCTTGACTCAACCCCAGTAAAACCATAGTGACTGTATTTGTAATTATTTGCATGTTCTCATCCTTACTTCTAGTTGCCTATGAAGATTCTCATTCATCTAGGCTGTGGTGGTCTCAAAGGTTCTTTCATTTTAAAGACAGGTGGACTCTGTCTGGTTTTTTTTTTAAGATGTTTCATTTCTCATCTAAGAAGCTTCTTCAGTTCTGAAGAAGATGAATTGAAGAAGCTTCTTGGATTAAAAGTGAAACATCTTAAAGAAAAATTACAAAGTCCAGTTGCCTTTAAAATAAAAGCACCTTTGGGCTTATTTCTAGTTACTAGTTTTATTAGATTTGTTAAGACTGTCCCACTCCAAAAAGATTTTAGGGGTAGGTGGGTGTAAAATAAATTCTTTTTCTTGCACTTTCTGAACACCAGAAGAAGTAAAACCCTAACTCAGTTGACGAGAATCAGGTAGCAGAAGCATCACTTGTGGGAGTTTTCTTTGAAAGAGAACAATACAGAAGAGGCCAAATCTAGTCAACTAGAGTAAATTACTACTGTTTTTCCAGAAATGCTTCTGATGAAAGCTTTATGCTACGGGAACAAAAGGCAGTGTCTTTGGGGAAGGTTTCCTAAAGGTTGGCCTTTGTGAGCCTCTTTGAACACTGGGCTCACAAACTGGGAAATTGATTGCAAGCTTTCTTTTGTCATCTTCTCCCTAGGAATCTGGATCATAACGAGATTTCAGGGACAATAGAAGACACCAGTGGAGCTTTTACGGGCCTGGAAAACCTAAGCATGCTGTGAGTATTGGATAAGTTTTGCTTCTAGAAAACAAAAACTGTTTTTCCGAACAGCTTTGTATATCTCTGTATATATTAGGAGTGGAATGGGAGAAAGTGGGACATCTGTTGAGCTTCTATCATATGCAGGGCAAATATTTTTTATTACTAGTACATGCCTTGGAAGCTCACTTGGCAATAATTCAAACTCTGACTATACTTTTTTTCTTAGTTTGTAGATCTAAAGAGGGGTTTTTTTTTGAGAATGAAAGAGAGTCACCTTATTTTATGAACCTCAAATGATAAATTTGTTTCGCTTTGTGTTCTTGACAAATTGCTTAGTATCTGATACTTTGTGTCTTCTTGGGAAAGTGAGGCATACATTTTATTTTTTCTTACATTGTGTTCAGATGGTGACCTTTCAAATAGAAAATGCATTCGGCTTTTGTTCTGGGGAGACAGGTAGTCCTCGATCTATGACTGTTGGATCAGCAACTGTTTCAAGTTATGATATTGCTGAACAAGTGGTTAATTATGACCAGTCCTCAGAGTTCTGGCCTTTCCAGAACCCTGCAGTTACTTGGTCACAATTTGAGTGCTTGGAACCCATTTGCATTTGCAATCGATTGCCAAGCTCTCTATAATCATGTGATTGCCATTTGCAACCTTCCCTGCTAGGTTCCCTATAAAGTCAGTGGGGAATATAGCAAATCACTAGGGTTAGTCTCCCTTAGCCCTTCTGCACCGGGACATGCCAGTTCGTGTACCCCTGCACACCCTCCTCATTCACCTTATACCCCCCATGCACACCTAACCTGTGCCATGCAACTTACCTGACTCACATGGTGCCTCTTGCACACCCTCATGCACCTGCCCAACCCGTGCCACACCTCTTGTGCTTCCTCCCCAACCTGTGCTGCACTTATTTATTTATTTTTATTTATTTATTTTATGAGACTTATATACCGCTTTAAGTGCAAGCACTCTCTAAGCAGTGTACACCAGTAAGCAATGTATGTATGTATGTGTGTATATATATATATATATATATATATATATATATATATATATATATATATCTATATATATATATATATATATATATATATATATATTTACATTGCCCCCAACAATCTGGGTCCTCATTTTACCTACCCCGGAAGGATGGAAGGCTGAGTCAACCTTGAGCCGGTGAGATTTGAACCGCTGACCTGCTGAACACAGCTAAAGTGGCCTGCAGTACTGCACTCTAACTGCTGCGCCACCTCGGCTCACTTCTTGAAGACACATCTCTTACACACCTTCCTAGACATGGTGGCTCAGAGGTTAGAATGCAGTGTTGCAGGCTAATTCTGCTGACTGCCAGCAGTTTGATTCTGAGTGGTTCAAGGTTGACTCAGCCTTCCATCCTTCCGAGGTTGTTGGGGGCCATAGGTTGGCTCTGTAAACTGCTTAGAGAGGGCTGTAAAGCACTGTGAAGTGGTATATAAGTCTAAGTGCTGTTACTATTGTTATACTGTCTCCCATACTTTTGCACATCCCTTTGCTCCCTCCCCACCTGGTAGCAGCCACTTAACTTCCTATAGGGTGTGGACTTGCATCTTCCCGCTGTCTTTCCCACTGACTTTGATTGTGGGAACCCGGCAGGAAGTCGCCTTATTTAGAAACTGTGGGATTAAGTAAATGATGGCAACAGAGCCTACAGGGATTAACTAAGATGTTAAGAAGTACATCCACATTCTTTAGTGAAGGAAATTGTCACAATTGCTATCATAAGTCAAGGACTACCTGTATTTAAAGATAACTTTTTGACTTCAGGGCGATAAACGTACAGTATTTTTTTTTTTAGGCACCCAGGCCTGCTAAAGTTATTTTTATATTGTTAAAAAGGCAGAATAATATTTTGCTAAAATTCTCCAATTAACAGTGTCAGCAAGAAAGCCTGAGACCTTAAAATACGGAATATTTTATTTTTTCTTTAGAAGCAGCAGTCCTTGTCCCAGGATTCAGGATGTTTAAATAAAGTACTGAGCCAGATACTGGTTTCTCCAAAATAGAAACATGTAAACTATTATATATGTATGAATGTGCATATATGGATGCCTCTGAAAGACAGCTGGAAGACGTTGTGAACTGAGAGAAACCATTCTGCAAATGTAGTAAAACCACACGAGAAAAATTAAAAACAAGGGTGTTCTTATATACTTTTTTTTAATGCAGGAAGATATGAATTCATAGCATCAGTGAAGTAAAGATTTTGCTCTGTAAAAGAGATAATGACTTCCAATATAAATATAGCATGGTAATTTAATTCAGTTTTAAGCTCCAAAACTATGGCCCTTAGTTGTCTAGGAAAACACTAAGAAATGATTTGAGATAAATATCTAACCTTGGAAAATGGATGAAAAGATGGAAGAATTTCTGTTTTCAAATTAACCAAGTATCCAAATGTATGAGTGATGATGATTACCTTTCATTGAAAAGCTGTAGAGGATTCCTGCTCCCCCTAATCCTTTGATATGCCCGCAGGAGACCATTACAAGGCCTACTGTGAAATTGACTAAAAGCTTAGCTTTGTTTGGATATTAGGCCTCACATGATTACAGATGCGTGAAGGAGAGAGTGGTCCTCACTTGTTGCCCCCAGCTTTAGCATTATGTCTGTTGAAGGCACCATGCCCCCTAATTGGCATTACTAGGCAACTAAGTAGGAAGGGGCCGCTCCGAACAAAAATCGGAACTTTGTGTAATCGGGTTTCTTAATTCTTTTTGGGGGGGGGGCTTCTGCAGAGGGAGAGAGGACAGATTTCTCCTTTCAGAACTTGCCCTCCAGAGTGAAGTTGCTGGGTGAGCTGTAGTATTGGCAAACACACATCCGCAGGAACATGCTAGTGCAGCAGTAGGCAACCTTGGCTCTTTTATGACTCATGGACTTCAACTCCCAGAATTCCTGAGCCAGCATGGCTCAGCATGGAAACCTCTCCATTTCTCCTCAGCATGGCTGGCTCAGGAATTCTGGGAGTTGAAGTCCACGAGTCATAAAAGAGCCAAGGTTGCCTACCCCTGAGCTAGTGACTATGGTTATGCACAGTCAGACGTGCATGTGCTTTGTCGGAACAGAGCAGAGAAAGTCATTCATACTCACTTAAGCTTAGACACTAGTGTGGGCAAAGCCAGATAAGGAAAAAAAGGGAATGTGGGGGTCCTTTGTGTTCTCTGAGCTTGGTTTTTCATTACTAAACTAGGTAACATCATCAACGCTAGTAGGGAATGGAAGGAACGTCTTTTGCCTAGGACTCTTATTAAGCTTCTAAAATAAGTAGATAGGTACTCTGTAGTACGAGCTCTGTAGATTGTCTCCATACCATACCTAGTTTATTGGACAACTCACTGGATCTGGGAAGTTAATGGTCTGCCCTCTCTTGAATAGACTATCTCTTGACTTGTCCTTATGCAACAGCTTTCACCTATCTAGAATCTTCCTACAGTATATGACAGTGCTTGTCTTATGCAATCTGTTTCCTCCAGGATGTATTTTTTTTTTTTAAAAAAATTATACATCACTCAGTTTTTTTAGTGGTCCGTATATATACTTTTTAATATAAATGAATAACATCTTTTGTTTGAAAAATAATCAAAATAAACTTTTTATGTGCTGGGTACTGCATTTAAACTGCCAGACTGAAGCATTTTACTGTATTAATATAAAGACACATAGGTAGAGGGGGGGGGGAGAGACACTTAAGAGGAAACCTCCACATGAATTAATAATTACTTCAGTGTTTTGGAGACGGTTTTAAGAGCTGTTCCTCTTTTGATCTGTGTGGACAAGCTACTGAAAGGAGATTGCAGTGAGTGCTCAAGCACCTTGTTCATCATAGTGGAGGTGTTAAGGGACAAGCAAAGATGTTAGCCCTCTCTGAATTATAGATGACATTTTCCACTGAGGAGGGAGCAAGCTTAAATTAAAACATTGTCTCTGAAGAGCAATCAAAACATTAGACTGGCAAAAGCTGATGTCTAGAAATAGCTCTGATTATTCAGACCTTGCATTTCTTTGCAATTTGGGGGGGGGGGGATGATTTTAGTTCCATTCTTCTTGGGAACAAAAACGTGGCCTTGTCCACAAGCTGTGGATACTTTTCTTCATAACATCCCCGCAATTAGTTAAAGCAGGAATAGAGAGGCCACTGTATTCTGTGCTTTATGCACCTTTTATATATTTGTACATTTATTTCATCCAGTTTATATGCTGCTCAATTTAAAAAGAAAAAACATCTAAGCAGCTTACAAATAATGCTAAAATAAAAGTAAAAATATACCAAGGAAAACATTCTTCTTTTTTTCTTCTTTTGATAGAGATGTAATAGAGAAGCTGTCAAGAAATATAGGTTTGGAAAAACAGACCAAGTATATGGAAAATATTTATCTCTATTCTGAAAACAATGAAATGTATTTTTACTAATCAGTGAATAACTCTACTTATTTCTTCCCCACCTCTAAGCTTCTTTAAAAAATAAATTTTATTAAATGTTTTAAAAAGAACATAAAAACATAAACCAATACAAAATAGAGAGAAGAAAGAAAAAACAAAAAAGTAGAATAAGAAAGAATAAAAAGAAATAGAAGAAGCTTCTGTTTTCCTCTATGGTAAATTTGTATGATTACAAAATTATCTCTTACTTTATGATTTATGACTTTTATCTTTACCTTTAAGAATTTAAGATTAGGTTACATATGGTGCATTTATCACAGAAATCAGATTGTATAAACTTGTTTCATGGTTTTATTTTTACCTAATTGTTGTTTCTTGATTATATTGAAAAGCAACCTTCAGCTAAGCAAATCTGATTTACTTGGGATAGCTTGCTTCTCCAGTTTGGCTTAGTTCTTTTATATCATTTGTCATTCTCAACTATTGGGATCCACCAAAGAAGACACATGGTATCTTCTTGCTAAAAATAGCCACCCACAAAAGTTATTCATATAAAGCACTGAAATAATATTTTGCTTTTCTTACAAGTTACTTGCCAAATGTTTTCATCCCTCAATATACGGATAGCACTCAGCCTACGACCTCAGTTGAGCCCAAAATTTCTGTTAAGTGAAACATTTAAGTGATTTTTTCCTCCATTTTACGACCTTTCTTGCCCCAGTTGTTAAGTAGTGTTCAGGGCAGTGTTCAGTTAGTAATACAGTTGTTAAATAATTGACTTTGTTTGTCATAAGGTCACAAAGGGTGATCACATGATCCCACGACACTGTCACCATCATAAATATGAGTCAGTTGCCAAGTGTCTGAATTGTGATCACATGATCATAGGGATACTGCAACAGTCATAAGTGTGAAAAAAGGTAATGTCACTTTTTTCAATGCCGTTATAACTTTGAATGGTCACTAAATGAACTATTGTAAGTCGAGGACTACCTGTAGTTTTAATCTAGTGTCACGCTCATGATAGGCATTTGCAAGTAGCATTCCTATTTTTGTACATACGTATGTCTAGATAAGCCTATCTTATTTCAAGTAAAGACTACTTAAAGTTAAGCTTGATGTCTGGTGACTACAAGGATCTGTTGCTTTCTTCAGTCTAGCCTACAAATCTCCAGTACAAATATTAACCAGACTCAATCCTACTCAAATCAACTTTTTTGAGATCAGCCAGGCTTGTTAACATGCTGCTAAAGGCTATTATTTGTGGACTTTGTACTGAGTAACATTCCCTAAAATTCTCTTTATTCTCATAAGAAAGAACTACTCCTAAGAAACGTATACATTGATGTTAGGTTAATCTCGCAGTAGTAAGATTTTAATGTAGCTTGCCCCTCATATTTAGACACATGGTCTCCTAATTCTAGAATTTGGTCAAGGCACGTGTATAGACAATATTATATACATGCCTTTATAATATTTTTTCGTGGTTCCCATTTTTATAAAAAAAATGGCCCCAAAAAGTACAGAATATGAATAATATTCTCTATGATAGAGCTAGTAAAAGAGACATCAAAGAGTACAGTTTGAATGAAGGCTTTTCTCAGTATCTATGGACAATCTCACTACATTGAGCATAGTGTATACGTTTTGCAAGCTGAACAGTTTCCCTGACCTTCCTAGCTTCTAATTGTATTTATTTCATGTCTTTATCCAAAGCAGAGAGTTACGGGGATATTTGTATTAACAAAAAACTGAAATTAAAGAAGCATTCCAAAAGTCCCCATGCCGTATCCTCCTGAATTAATTTGTTGCAGAAGTTTAATCTCTTCTGTCATCAGGACTCAGGATGGGCTATATTGCGTTTGTAAAAAAGAAGAAAGGAAAATGTTAGAAATCAGATAAGTAACAGAATAAAGCTGTCTATATTATCTCAAACCAAATTCCGCAGGCCCAATTTAGCCCAGCAATGGGGCGCCAGCAGAACTAGGAAAGTGTTCAAATATTTCTTGGATTGTAGGAATCAAGTATCTATCAGATTTGATTTCATGACCAGAATATTTGAATGTCTCCCTACGGCGATTTCTCTGCTAGGAAGGCAGAGCCAAATGGTATGCTAGAATTGACTTGCATTGCCTTTGTTTTAAAAATACACTTCTTACTTTATATGTATATTGCAAAGTGTAAGGAAGTTATTGAAGATTGCAGTAATTATTACTGTTGTAGTTATAAACCAGGCATGTCAAACTGCCGGTCCGCGGGCCAGATGCATCATACTGAAACCGCACCCACTCCATTGCCGGCAATGGGGAAAAAGTCGCGATACGTTACGCGACGTCACATAACATTGCGAGTTTGAGATCCCTGTTATAAACTAAAAGAAATATAAGAATAAAAAATAGAAGGTGTAGAAAAGAAATAGAAAAGAAAGAAAAAATACGAATATAATAAAGAAAAAGCAAAGAAATATATAAGGAAACGATTTGCTTCTTCATTTCAAAAAGTATAAAACATTTTAGTCACATACCATCTTCTCTTAAAATGCAACAAACGTCTTTCCATATTTTATCTCTTATTGGTAAACATCATTTCAATCCTGATTTTACCAAAAGTCCATTAAGTCCATTTTTTTGGTTTTTGTTTCCCCCCGTTTAAGTTCCTAAACTTGTCGATCCAGAGGTTGCTAATAGCTAAAATGAAGTTGACACAATTTGCAAAAGTGAATAAAAAAGAAATTGTCAACGCTGCAAATATTGTATATTCTTGCTTTTGACAATATGCCGAATTGTCTGGTAAATATGGGGTTAATAAAGAGCAGAAGGGGCATTGGGGGTAAAGCCGGGAAAGAAAGAGGAAGAAAACATTTGACCTTCACACTAATTGGATAGTGTGAGATACGACGGCTAATTTAGGGAGGGAACATGCTGATAATTTAACTGCTCAGAGGAAGAGAACTTAGATCCTAGCATCCCTCCGTTGTGCCTGTGCCGACATTTTGTAACAATAAAAGACTTTTAGGAAAATAAATGCCTGGAAGTTCTTTGGAATATTTCATTAGCCGGAACCACAACAGGAATATTTGAACATGGTAATCTTCTCAAAGGCACTAACCACAGTTTGAGCAAAAAGATGACTATTCTTTCGTCTGTCAGAGCTCTAAGCCCACTGTCTCCTTGGGAGTAGCAACTGTCTAGAGCCCTTGTGGGCGATCTCAAGTCATCTCCTTATCTGGAGAGGAATTACAAAGAGCTGGTCTCCTTGCTGGCTCTTCATTCTGCTGTGGTTGTTCGCTCTGCTTTTTTTTTGCAGAGCAATCTTTCAGTCTTCCATTTCTTTCACAGAAGTTGCAAAGGGTGTTAGAAGACAACAAAGCTAAAACCACATGCTACAAGACTTTTAATCACCTTGGCTACCGGAAAGGAACTGCCATATTTTTTTGCTAAGAAAAAAAAATAATCTTAAAAAACCCTAATTCCCCATCTTGGCTTGCTTATAGGTTCTATTGGTAAGCAACTTCATAGGTATTCACTGGGGGGGGGGGAAGTATCTTTTCAGGGTACTGTAAGTCCATGATCAGATCAATGTTATTTTTTATAATTAGAGGAGTATATCTAACTTCTTTTTGGAATAAAAAGACCTTGAAATCCTTTTGTTGGGATTTTTGCTAGCAAGTCAGAAGTGAATCTATGTGGTAAAGTAGCACTAGAAAATAAAATTTTGACGCTTTTTGTCAATAAACTTCTGAGGGAGAAAGAGAGTTCTACCCTAGGCAAAGATATTTTGTCCCTGAACTTTGAAAAACATTGATTAAACTTGCTGTGGGGGAGGGGGGAGCATATTCTTCCAAAAATTCTCCGTCCTTTATCTCCCCAAACATACAGTAGCATGAAAAACCCCAAATCAAATGTCTTTATTACAGTCTTTGATCAGCCTTTACCATAAAAGAATACAGTGAAAAGGGAAGTAGTTTAACGTGACAATTTATTGGGAAAAAATAATCGGACAATAAAACAACATATGTAATTAAACATTTTGCACAGTTGAATAATTTGATGAAGATAGTTGGCCTCCTGATATGTGAATGTGGGATTATTAGCATCCCTTAAAAATAATAAACATAAAATTTATCTCTCTGGCTCTCGTGTTTTGGCCATTAGAGTATATCTTAGGGCAGGGGTAGGCAACCTGGGCTCTTTTATGACTCATGGGCTTCAACTCCCAGAATTCCTGAGTCAGCTGACTCAGGAATTCTGGGAGTTGAAGTCCATGAGTCATAAAAGAGCCCAGGTTGCCTACCCCTCTCTTCTTAGGGCATCATAGAAAGGCACCATATGAGAACATGGCTGAGCATTTCTACCTCCCTGGATCCACGCCAGCAAAGTCTCTTAAAAAAAAAAAAAAAAGAGGAGTCCTATGAAATCTTCAGGCCAATAGATCTGATGGGAGGGTATCAAAGGGAGGCTCTGGAGAAAGCCCTCTATATTTTGAAACGGAAAGTCTGAAACTTTGTGGTCCGTTTGGAAAGCCACTTATTACCAACTGTGAAAAGGTCAAGGGTGAACTGCCCAGTGGTGAATCCAGTGTCTCGTTTAAATGGTGTTTGGGCTGATAAGCCAAGGTCAGCTCACATCCTGACTGACCTTCCCCCGCCCCCCTTTCCAGAGCAAACCTGCATTTCTTAACTCAAGACAGAGCGTCCTGTATAAAGCTATCAACACTATTAAGCTCTAATAAAGATTAAAGGTATTTAATTTCAGGGAAAGGAAGAAAGTACTGCCTGCTTGTGGCCTCCTTAATCTCGACAGATTGTATTTCCAGCACCTTACATGGAGATGGTTCATCAGATAGACGCTCGCTAATTGGGTTCTTTTCTTCCCCTCTTGCCTCTCTTTCTCTCCACCCTCCCCCCCCCCTTCCCCCTTGCCTACTCTCCCTCCCTCCTCCCCTGGCTGCTGCTTATCTGGCTTGCTGGGTGTTTGGCAACTGCAGGACTCTGTTTGGAAACAAGATCAAGTCTGTGGCCAAGGAGGCGTTCTCCGGCTTGGAGGCCCTGGAACACCTGTGAGTAACCCACAAGGCTTTGCAGGTTGGGAGAGGAGGGGCTGGGTGGGAAAGGGGAGGCTTGCCAGGAATGGCTGCTGCAGCGGCCTGCAAGCAATTTAATAGCATCTTTGTAAGCTGAGAAGCTCTCCGTTCCTGAGAGCCAGCTGCTTCCTTCTCATTATAAGTCAGCTCCAACTTTGGCTCTGCTCCCCCCCCCTTCTCCCCCAGCTAGGAAGAAAGTTGTAGAACACATGACCAGTTATATGGTGGTTTTTTTTTTTAAACCTATATTGGAATGCCTTTTTTTTAATTCACAAAAATTCAAACCTTCCGGAGAAATTGTTCTCCTTTCCCAAAAGTTTGAAGTTGCATCTTTTTTTTCCTCTGTTCTTCCTTGCCACTGAGCATATCTACAAAAAAATTGGGGTCAAAATATCTCACCACAATCTTTGCTAAGCAGGGCGGAAAAAGCAACCCTTGCAGTTTGAATTGCTCTTTTATGCCATTGCTTGAACATATTTACAATAAATTAGGCCAGAGTGGCAGGGAAGCTAATTGAATATCAGAGAATCTACCTTTCTTGTCTTCTTGAACATTGCCACTCTTATAGATGGCAACTTTGATCAAGATCGGCTTTACTCCCATCGTCTTCGCTTTGACTCCCTCTGCTGGCATTAAGAGCAGCATTTGGTAGAAAATAAGTCTATAATATTAAGAGTCCGAAAGACCCCTGGGGTTATTCTTCTTGAGGGTTATTTGTTTTGCCTTTTTCTTTTTTTTTTTGTACTTGCTATTTTTTTAAACACATACTTGCAGAGTCCAAAGAGGAAGAACACCATTTTAGAAGAGGCATTTCTACTACTTTTTTACCTAACCTTTTTTTAACAGAGAGGGCAGGTTGGAGAGTGAATTAGAGGGCTGGCATTGAACCCCTTTTCCCCCCGTCCTGCTGCTCTCTTCACTTTGTCTGTGCAAATAAAGTTCCCCTAGGCATGGATCCTTCCTCTGCAGGGATTGGAGCCTGTTTTAAAATGTCTGCTCATTTTATACATCCTTGCTGTTTTTACTCATGTGCAAATGACTACAAATTACAACTAAGACATCTTTACTTGGGGACCAGCCAAGTAATGTGTTTCAATTGTAATGTGTGTTTCTATGAAGTAGATTCTGGAGTTGGTTCTTTGGCTGTTTTCCCCCCCAGCGTAGTTGGCTGAAGTTCTGAAATTCTCTTCTCTCTGTTCTTTCTATCTTGCCCAAATTGCAAAGGAGGAGTGGATTCCTTTGGAAAGGGGGTGGGCGGGTGGGTGAAAGGGGTTAAAGTTTAAAATACTTACTACATGTTCTTTGCTTTAAGTACAGTTTTTCAGCAATTGGCCAGATGAAATGCTAAAAACCTTGATATTTAAAATGCTGGCAGATTTACTAAGCAATTGGAATGGAGTTGTGTGTGCAGATGTACAATTTTTAAAAATTCCACCTTAAGCTATTAAAATAATAATGGGTGGAGAATAGTACTACTCGTGACCCAGTTCATATGTAACATTAAATCACAAGAATAAGCTGCAGCCCATTCCATTTCAGTTTTGCCCTGAAAAACCTACCTCCAAGGCGTAATATGCAGTTAACCTGTATCTTGACTGGCTAACAAAAAAATATACAGGTAGTCTATGCTTAACAATCACAATTGGGGCCATAATGTGGTTGTTAGTGAGCTATTATATGACATCAATAGAGTTATGACATCACTTCCACTACAGTTCTTAAGCAATCTCTTGTGGTCATTAAACAAGACACAACGTGATTGTGACTTGTGATTTTACTGCCAGTTTCTCCATTGACTCTGCTATTCATCAGCTGGCTGTGAAGTGCATAAATGGTGATCCTGTGACCACAGGATACTGCAAAGTCATAAAGCTGCAAAATCCCCAAATCTCAATCGCACGACCATGGGGATGCTGCAAAGGACATAATAGCAACAGCACTTATATACTGCTTCAGAGTGCTTTACAGCCTCTCTAAGGGGTTTACAGAGCCAGCCTATTGCCCCCCAACGATCTGGATCTTCATTTTACCCACCTCGGAAGGATGGAAGGCTGAGTCAACCTTGAGCTGCTCAGAATCGAACTCCTGGAGTGAGCAGTGGGTTAGCCTGCAGTCCTGCATTCTAACCACTACGCCACCATGTAAACATAAGAACCAGTGGTAAAGTTATTTTTTTCAGCACCTGTATAAGATAAATTGCCTTTTTTCATTCATCACCATTAGGATTCATTAAAACAAAAAATGATAGAAATTGGATGTGAAGCGAAAGTAGACAGATGAGAGATTCACTGTGACATGTCCTGGTAAAGTTAGTATGATGTGGAAATGCATTCGGGCCCTAATTTCTGTACATCCTCTGTTTACTAGGATCAGAGATATTATGAATAAGTGGAAAATCACAAAGTGCCGTATTAAAAGAAACCACACTTACACAGAGTTACTTTTGTACCACCACAGTACATCTATCATATGTCTATAAATTAAAATAAATGCTTACTTTCTGTAGGAACCTTGGGAATAACGCCATACGGTCTATTCAAGAGGATGCCTTTGCAAAGCTGAAAAACCTGAAAGAACTGTAAGGAATGAATCCTAATATTTGCTGTATATTTTGGTCCACTTTTGTGACATTTCTTCCAGCGACTCCTCCCTCCGATAGCTCCTTTTCCATATTATCAGTAATTCCATTGTTCCCTGCACTCTTCTTCTTACGAGCTATTTTTGCAAGAAAGCAGATGTCAGATAGTGAAATTCCACAATTAGTGAAATCAGATCTTCCTTGTGGTTGATTTCATTGGGCTGCAGCTCTGCCTTTTTCCATTGTGCTCAGGAAGTCCAAACTCCTGTCCTCTAATCATATAGATCATATAATGGAATATCTGCCCTTCTCATCCCCCCTCCCCTTTTTATATCTGTATGATAGAAATTTCAGTAATAAGCTGTCTTTGAATTTGCTCCTTGAACCCATTTAGGATGGGAGAATTAAAAATGGGATCAGCAGAAGGGAATATTTGTAACTCAGCATTGAACTTGGTTGCCTGAAATTGGTTGTCTTTTTGGAGACGTTTCATTACTCAGCTGCTAGCACTGATAATGTTACCTAGTTGGATAATGAAACGTCTGCAAGGAAACAGTGAACCTCAACTATGTCAGCAGAACCTTGTTTGTCACATTCTGTTTTGCGATATATATATATTCTGTTCTTTCCCTCTCTCTAAAATAGTGTGTGGCCTATACAGATGCCCAGAAGCTAAATTTACAAGTTTATTGTTGAAGAAGGTGGGGGAGGGGAACATCCATATGTGGCTCTGTCCAAAATCAACCACAAATCACTTAAACTTTATTTTATTTAAACATAGCAGAGCGGGGCTGCTTATTCATGTGGTAAACCCATGGTTATCAAATAATTGGCAATTGTAGATTTAAAGGGCTTATTCATTTCCACTTCAGGTATTGGCACAACTATTTAGAAATATGCAAAGTAATTTGGAAGATCTACCTCAAAAGAAACTGATGACCACTAAGCTAAGTTTAACTGTAAATCAAAAGCTTAATGAAGAATAGTTTTATGAATGGCTATGAATCAGGGAATTTCTCAGAAGCGAATTGTCACACTAATACATATCAGCTGCTATGCAGCAAATGTCAAAATTAATTGTCACAATACTGTCTTTATACTGTGCTTGAGAGCTTCTCAAAGAATTCCGATAGCTGTTGTAGAAAGGAAAAGGCTGGATTAAGTCTATAATTGATTACTACCAAACTACTTTTCTTATATTCTGATTTTCAACCACGATTTTGGTAGTCTTTCCATCTTTAAATCTTAAAGTGTTAATACTTGCCTATTAGATTGGGGTTATCTAGATGCTATCTACTGCAAAATATACATTTAAACACTGCATTAAAGAATGAAATTAGCACTGCAAAATGTGACCATGGTCTGCTTAAAGTGGGGCCTATATCTTCATATGATACTTCTCCAAGTAAAATGAAAATTCCTTCCCTCCGTACAAGGCAATAGCATTGTATGAATCTGGTTGGATTCAGATTGTTACATGAAACAGTTTGGAAAGCCAATTGAATTTGGAGCAGAGTTAGGCCTGCCATCATAAAGTTGAGGGTTTTTCTTTCCTAAATGCCCAAGCTGGGACAAGCCTGACACAAAGCCTTTTCTGTACAGGTACAAAATGGTGTGTTGGACTGACTTGGAGGCAGCAAACTGAGTAATTTAATCCAAGGCTGATATTCATATAACAACTAATAAGGACCATCTTTACACACCTGAACATTTGTAACACTTCTTTTGCCAGTTTTATAAGAATTCACATTTTATTCTTTTCGTTGCTTCCTTTGCTTTCTTCCAGACGCATCAACAGCGAGAGCTTCCTCTGTGATTGTCAGCTCAAGTGGTTGCCACTCTGGTTAACCAAGAAAAAACAACAGCTGTTTGTGGAAGCCACCTGTGCCCACCCAGAATCATTAAAGGGCAAAAATATTCTTGAAGTGGTCCCAGAAAGTTTTGTATGTGGTGAGTCTTAGCTGCCGCATGGTAATTTTGAGGTTGCTTTGGAGGGTAGCCCTGACACAGGAATGACTATGTATTTTGTGGTCAGCTTATTATTTCATAGGCAGTGGAGTGTAGCATCTCCTTTTCGTGGTCTGCCTTCACCATTGAGAAGACCTGTAAATCATATTCACTGCATCTATCGGGAGCAATGATCCCAAATGAGCTTGCTTGGGGAATTATTTGGTGGTCATGGAAATTTGATGATAGAAGGGGTTAGAGCTTGGATGAGAAAGCAGCAACAGCCTTTCTGAATAGCATATCCTGCTTTGATTCATTTCAGTTTGGGTTCCAGCTTGGCTGAAATTGCCTTGACTGCTCCAGCTGCTGATTTTTCTTGATTTATTTGACTTGACTTTTGTTCTGGCAGAAAACAAAAATGATTCTATTTGCTCTTATTAAAGGAAGGCTCTTCCCAGCTTTTTTGTTGTCCTTATATGAGGTGAATCTTACTTTGCGGGCAGCGTAGAGCTAGCCTTGAGACAGACTCATCCGATACCCATTCAATAGCCTATTTTGGATTTTGAGGGTGAAGTTTCTTCCATCAACTCTAAATTATACATCACAATTAATGCAGGTGCTCTTGAGATGATGGAGTTTCATCTTGTCAAAATGTAGGTGACTGGTTTCAATTAGTGTGACGGACAGAGTGAGCAGAATTTGTAGAGTTTGGATTGTTAAGATTTTTAAGAACCACCAGTGAAGGTCTTATGTGGGTAGATCTAGGGATCTCCTGGTGCAAAAATAAGATTGTAAAGATTTCTTAGTTTAACAGAATAACCACATCACAGAGCTTTTTTCTTTTTTGGGGAGTACTGTATAGACTTTTAACTTCCCGAAAGCAGAATCCATAAGGTAAGCCTAGGCAAGAAATTAGATTTAATATTAAAGCATTAGAAATTAGTCACCATATAATCCCAATTAAAGCATGCCAACTGAATAGAAAATCATCGATTTGCAAGGATTCAATGTTGTTCTGTCACCTACCTTTTTTGGGGAGGGAGGATGGATATATTTTATTTTTTAAAAAAACAAGTAATAATAAATAATAAATCTACCCTCTTTGTCAGTGGTTGTAGCCACCCCTTGTGTATTGCATGAGGTTAGAGCAGTGTTTCTCAACCTCAGCAACATGAGGATCCATGGACTTCAATTCCCAGAATTCCCTGAAATAGCAGCATTTATTTAACACATGCCACCTTCTTAATCTGTTAAAAATAGCAATTTGAGCCGCAGGTAGAGAAGGCCATGGAAAATCTCTTGGTCTAGCAACAACTGCCAGTTGTGGAGTTGTCACATCCCCCAACAATGTACTGCCTCTCTGGGGGGGGGGGCAGGGACACACTGCTGTCCCTGTCACTCAAGGTAGAAGCCACTGGTTGGGGCAGAGCAGCTGAGTCATGCGGTCTTTTCTCTCATGCCTGGATTGTACTAGAAGATAGTATAATATTGCTTATCTGTCTGCCTGCCCTCTTCAGAGTCACAGATGTTTTGGCTTTAGGAAACTATAAATTTGCCACCCCTTCTCTGGTTGTGCCCAGCATATCCACTGTATCCATCTGATACCAACGTTTTTTTCCCTATGTTACAGCCTGCTGCAGTCTCTTCTCTCAGACACTAGAACAGGGGTGGGCAACTATGGCCCCTTTATGACCTGTGGACTTCAACTCCCAGAATTCTTGAGGCAGCCATGTTAGATAGAACTGGAAGCCGGAATGTCTAAATGCACCAGGAGTGATTGTTGTCACTTCTTGGGCCAATGCTTTTTCCTTTGGCTACTTACTGAATTGATGTTTGGTACAGCTTTCAGACATTGGTATTCCAAGCTCGGTTCTTAAAACATGAATGTTCTGCCGTGGCAAGCAATCTCACTATTTGACAATCTTTTGTCATTGGTACTTCTGTCACTGGCCTTCTTTTCAGGGGAAGGGAAGGAGGTAATGGTGAATAATGAAATGAGAGATTGGGGGGGAGTAGGACTGATAAATGAAACTGCTTGGAACTCAACTATACTAAAGACTTACAACAGTTCATTTAGTGACCTTTAAAAATTATAACAGCACTGAAAAAAGTGACTTAGAACCGTTTTTCATACTTACGACCATTGTAGCATCCCCTTGGTCACATGATCAAAATTCTAAAGCTTGGCAACTGGCATGTATTTATGACAGTTGCAGTGTCTTGGAGTCGTATGACACCCCCCCTTTCCCAACAAGCAAAATCAGTGGGGAAGCCAGATTCACTTAACAGCTGTGTTACTAACTTAACATCTTCTGTGACTCACTTAACAACTGTGGCAAGAAAGTTGCAAAATAAGGCAAAACTCACTTAACAACTGTCTTGCTTAGCAACAGAAATTTTGGGCTCAGTCATGATCATAAGTTGAGGACTACCTGTAGAGTTCATTTGCTGGGCCCAAACTTTGCTTTGGATGGCGGACATACAGCTCTATATGCCATATCTTCAAGGACCAGGATGCTTTCCCACTGTCAGCAATTCTTACTAATGATGTCAGCTGCAATAGTTGTAACTCTTAGCTAATTAACATCTTGCCCCCCCCTCCTCTCACTAGAGGTGAGATCCTCACCACTGGGTGAGATCCTCTCCCGCCTTTCTATTCTTCTATAAGGGCCTGAAGACCTGGCCCTGCCAATTGGCCTAGGTCTCCAATGGGGAAGTACCATGCTGCAGGCAGTTAATGAACCCAATAGAAGATCCCACCTCCTCCCCTGCAATCCTGCCCTGTCCCTTTCCACCTTTTAATTATAATTTTTTATTATTGTTGTTAGAAATATTTACTTTTGTGGTTTTATTGTTTTTGTATGTCATATGTCCCCCAGAGTCACCTTGTGGGTGGGTAAACAAACTTAATAAATGAATAAAATTTGCTGCATAAAAGTGGAAATTGGATAGGATGCATGTGTGTATTTCTTGCATATACACTCTATTTTATATATATATATATATATATATATATATATATATATATATATATATATATATATATATATATATGTATATACACACACACATACATACACACACACACACACATATATACTTTTTTCTGCATGCCTTAGAATTAGTGGTAAGTCATTGGAAAATAATTTTGTCCCCCCTTAGATCCTAAAAATAATATTTTTTGTTATATATTTTTGTTAGGATAGCAGCTATCTTATTGTAGGTCATCCTCTAGATCAGTGGTTCTCAACCTGTGGGTCGGGACCCTATTTGGGGTCGAACGACCATTTCACGGGGTTGCCAAACAACACAGTCCGCCATTTTTTCCCCCTTTTCCTTAGCTGTGCTACTCCCTCTTATTCTATTGGCTTTTGAAAGCCAATAGAATAGAATCCCTTGAATAGAGTCTAATTCTATTGGCTTTCAGAAGCCAATAGGAATTGTCCAGGCTGTCTCTGCCCTGCTGAGCCCGCCAAAAGTCCCATTCTGCAAATGGTGCTGCACCAATTGATTAGTCCTTGACTTATGACCGGTTGAGTAGTCCTCGACTTACGACCGGTTGGGGGTCGCGGCATTAAAAAGGTTGAGAACCACTGCTCTAGATATTTCTTAGGGCTTTATCCCTAATTCAATTTATTTCTAGTGCTTTTCATAAAGTCTATTACCATTCAACTTAATTTCATGCAAAGGGAAACAGGCAGTGGTAGCCATATCAATGCAAATATTGTCAACTATAGTAAATGCAAGTAGTCCTCACTTAACAACCACAATTGTGCCTGGAATTTTAATCATAAGTCATTGTGGTTAAATGTGATTTGATTTTATGACCATTTTTACTAAGTCATAAAACAAGTCATTGCAGTTATTAAGCTAACTATATGGTTGTTAACATGTCATTTATTTTTTTTAATATATTTTATTAATTTTTTACAATAACAAACTTTAGTGCTTAGTGAACAGTGTGTTGTCTGGGTTCAATAATAATTAATTTCTGTAATTGATCAATATGTAATTTTTTAAAATTTTACAATAAAATTCCCTTCCCCAAACCCTCCCAACCCACCCCAATACCCTCCCCCCATCTTCCCAGAGCTGAATACAGGCTTAATTAAAACTTAAAAGAAAACATTTAAACACCAATAAACCATAAACAAATTTGATTATAGTCATTAAACAAATTATAAAATACTTTAACACCAATATATATAGAAAACAGAAAGAGGAAAAAAAAAAGAAACAAGAAGAAAAAAAAGAAAAAAAAGGTAATAATAATTATACTTCTAATTATACTTCTAAATAATATCTTGAACTTTAAATATAAATTATTCAAAAACTAAATAATATTTTTTTATATCGTACTTACATTTTATGAAATTTATCCATCTTTTCCACACCAAAAAATACTTCTCTTGCGATTGCTCTTTCAAGAAAGCCAAAATCTTTGCCATTTCCGCTAAGTAGGAAACTTTAAAACATATAACATCTTTTCTAATCAGTTTATGTTTCAACTGTATTTATAGAAGTCATCGTATTAAGTCATTAAATGTCCTGTTTTCAAGATTCTTATTTAAGCTTAATATCCCTCAGTATTGAAACCACTCTTATCAGTCATAATTTTCTCAAAATTCATTATCTTTCAATATCCAAACTTTTCATTCAAATACACCGCCTCAATATTTTTACATTTCATATATTATAAAAAGATTATACTACTTATATAACTTATCCCTTTTACTATAGGGCCATTTTATGTCCAAGCTTTGTCTATTCTTTTAACCATGTTCAAACAAATATTTAGTCATATACCATCTAGCAATCTTACTATAAGGCCTCTTTATATCCAAACTTTATATTTTTTTAACCGTATTCAAACAGGTGTTTAGTCATACAGTATTCCATCTGGTAAGCTGAATCACATCTCTTAAATCTAATTCTAATCTTCTTTTGCCAGGTCGCTTTCCAAATCAGTAGGTTTAGCTTGCCAGGTTGTATTTTTACAGATATTGTTAAGTAGAATATTTGTTTTTTGTCTCCCACACTTTAATGATTTTCCTGACAGCTCTTTAATCCATTTTATTAAATCTTCTTTTTTGTGCTCAAGTTTGTTTTTAAATCCTGGAAAATAAAGCATCTTTTTTATTTTCTTTGTTGTAGAAAAATTTTGCGGCTTTTCTTTTGTTTGTATTAAGTTGTAGTTCTCTTCATTTGTAGCTTCCATATTTAAGTCATTTTCTTCTCATTTGTATTCTATTGTCTGATTTATTTGTTCATTCTTTATCGTCATTTTTTGAACATTGTTTAATTGTGAATTTAGGTTAGAGATATGTTCATTTATGTTATCAAATTTATTTTTAATCTCATAATGATTTAAGACAATTGTCATTTGAATCTGTCGCAGCATTGCATATATTTTCTACTGGAATGTATTTGCTTGGAATGTCTTGAGCCATTGTTCCTGCAGATCTCTGATGTTCCACGCTGGGGTGTTCAGCAGAAGGCGTTAGGTGTGGTTTTCTGTCACTTTTAGATAAATATACACCATCCATTTTGTCTCCCTTCTCTAAGTAGTTTTTCACCTATACCATAGTCTCTTTAATTAGCTTTATCAAATCAGCCCATCTTAAAATCCAAACAACCAAAACTTATGTAATTCTTATCTTTATATATGGTTTTTGAAATCCAATATGTTTCCAATTATCAAAGTACTGAAAACGGTATTTTGTAACAGTTCTTTCTTCTTTTATGATTATCAGCCAGCCAAGATTTCAGTCCTAAGTGTTTAACCACCTGAAAGTTTTCCAGTAACTTCCCCTTAGGAGATTAACCAAAGGCCAAGGTTTTTCTTTCTCTGCAAACAGTTCTTAAACTTAAAAATGCAGCTCAGTATGTTTATAATCCCAGAAGGTCAGCAGTTTCTAACCATATATAATTTTACTCTGTAGTAGATAGTCCAATGCTTTGTTCCCAGTTGTTTTTTGATATTTCTGGGCATCTTGCCAAATTCTGAGTCAATGCAGCTATAGTTTTCTCTAATCCTCCACTAGATGTCAGTAGCTGTTCATTTTCCAGCTTTTAAAGCAAAGTGTTATTATTTTTTTTCTAATTTCATCAATACTTTTTTAGGTATGGAATTTTAACAGTTATCTTAGTTTTCAAATTTATCCAGACTGTAGTATTTTTAACCTCATTTCAATATATTTTTGTTCCCTATAAGAGTTTAATTTGCCGCTTCCGTCTATGAGAGGATGGGGGTGTAGTCCTCTCCCTTCTCATTTTGGGAGGATTTTTGCTTCTTGGGAATCTTTTCCAGGAAATCAGATACAAAATAGGAGAGAGAAGGTTGAATTCCTCACCCAGTTTCAAGCATGCTGTTCACCATTGTTTTGGTTAGTGCCTTTGAACTTTGGCTGCAAGTAACTTGGGCTGGTCACCGATGTGTGGCCAGCCTTTTTTCTGTTGGGTTAGAGAGCTTCCCCCGGATTGAGCGGGATGACCATCGTAGTTCTGTGATCATTGGGGTGCCCCTCTTTGGGGCGACTTTAGACCCATTTAGGGTCCCCTGGCAGGACAAAACTAACCGTGGGGTCCGGAGCTCCTCAATCCCTCAGCCATGTACTACGCCGCAGAACCGGGAGTCCAACATGTGGTCATTTAGTGAACCATGTGGACGTTAAGCAAATCCATTCTCCCAAATGGGCAGTTTTTGCCAAAAACTGTCAAAAAGGATTGGAAAGTTATGTGACGTAAATGTGAGCCAGTTATTAAATGCTTAAAACACAATCATATGTACAGCAGTTATAACTTCAAGGATGAGGCAAAAATTCAGAGAACAGCAATTAAGTTGATCAGAGGCCTGGAGACTAAAACATACGAAGAACGGCTGCAGGACTTGGGTTTGGCTAGTCTAAAGAAAAGAAGAAATAGGGGAGACATGATAGCAGTATTCCAGTATTTGAGGGGTTGCCACAAAGAAGAGGGGGTCACATTATTCACCAAAGCATCAGAGGGAAGGACAAGAAACAATGATTGGAAACCAATCAGAGAGAGAAGCAACCTGGAATTAAGGAGAAACTTCCTGACAGTGAGGACAATTAACCAATGGAACAGCTTGCCTCCGGAAATTGTGGTGCTCCATCACTGGAGATTTTTAAGAAAAATCTAGACAGTCACTTGTCTGAGATGGAATAGGTTCTCCTGCTTGAACAGGGGACTGGACTAGAAGACCTCCAAGGTCCCTTCCAGCTCTATTCTATTCTATTCTATTCTATTCTATTCTATTCTATTCTATTCTATTCTATTCTATTCTATTCTATTCATATCTTTGATTAATCATTAAGCAAGGACTAGCTGTAGGTGGGAGGGCCAGGAATGGTTAGTGCTTAGATGGGGAGCTATGAGGAATGTTTCAAAACCAAACCATGTTTCTGAGGGAAGTAAACAAACAAACAGCATCCTGAAAGAAGGCAGTGACAATCTGCTTTGCTGTTGTTTCCCCAAAACACTGGATTTTTCTGTGGCATTGTACCTTTTCAGTGAAATTCTATAAGAAATGCAAGGGAAACGGGGAGCAGGGATTGAGACTCCCAGTGGGATAACGTGTACAGTTGTACTATATTTGAATTTCATTGTCGGAGATTAGCTGAAGCAGACTGCTTTTCTTAATGACAGTCCACTAAAGCTTTCTGGCATGATTTGGATACCCGGTGCGTCCTTTTAAAGAGGGAATGGTTCATTTCTTTTCCAGACGATTTTCCCAAACCCAAAATTATTGTTGAACCAGAAACTACTATCGCTGTTCTTGGCAAAGACATTCGTCTCACCTGCTCCGCAGCCAGTAGCAGCAGCTCTCCGATGACCTTTGCCTGGAAGAAAGACAACGAGATTCTTCACCATGCCGAGATGGAGAACTTTGCACATGTCCGAGCCAGGGATGGCGTGGTGATAGAGTACACAACCATTCTGCACTTGCGCCGTGTCACTTTTTCGCACGAGGGACGCTATCAATGCATCATTACCAATCATTTTGGCTCTACCTATTCTCAGAAATCTCAGCTTACCGTTAATGGTGAGTGAGGAAAAATGTGGCTTGAACATTGTTTGCATTCTAGAAATGAGCTTTTCCTATTGTTATTATAATGTTGTTAAACTGCTTCCTTTATCCTGAAAAAGTTCCAGATATGTACACTTCAACTTCCAGAATTTTCCAGCTAGGATTTGCTGAGTTTCTGAGACCTAAAACCTCGAGGCACTAACTTGGAGAAAGTGACCCCAGCCTCTCTCTTTCTAGATGCAAGTATTAGAGCAGTGTTTCTCAACCTTGGTAACTTGAAGATGTGTATAGACTTCAACTCCCAGAATTCCCCAGCCAGAAAGCTAACTGGAGAATTCTGGGAGTTGAAGTCCACACATCTTAAACTGTGAAGGTTGAGAAACAATGTGTTAAAGCTGGGGTGTCAAACTAGCGGCCCGTGGGCTGGATGCGTCACACGCAGGCCACGCCCACGCTGCCTCCGCAAAGGCAAAAAATGTCACGAAATATCAAGATACATCATGTGATGCAATCAAGTTTGAAACCCGTGTGTTAAAGTATAGCAACAAAAAGGGAAATGACTCCAAAGTGTTGTGAACACCAGTAATATTTCCTTTCGAATTTATTGCACAAAGGACTGGTTTGCCATTGTGTAAAAATTATTCCCTGGACAAGTGATGGGAGTTAAGACGCATCAGTCTTAATAAACACTGGCTTGGCTCATTGGGATTTTTCTCATTGCCTTTATTTAAGTGTTAGTCTCTGGAACTTCTTAAATGAACTTAAAACACTCCTTTAGAATGCCGTGTTTTAATTTTAACTCATAATGTCTGAACGCTAGTGTGTAAGCTCCATTGAACGAAGGAGTTGAACTGTGTGGTCAAATTGCATCCCTATAAATGTCTGTCTTTTTTTTTTCTTCCAAAAAAGCTACATTTTTGTAGCAAGTTAGAGGATGTTAACATGCTATAGTAAAAAAAAAAAAAAGAGAGAGAGTTTGAGTCCTATTTGCAATTGAGCTGCCCAGCCAATATTCTTTACTAGCTTGGGGTACAGTCACTCTCTTTTATCTTCCACAGTGTTGCCGTCTTTCCTCAAAACCCCCTATGACATTGCAGCCCGGACTGGAACAACTGCTCGGTTGGAATGTGCTGCTCGTGGGCATCCCCTTCCGCAGATTGCTTGGCAGAAGGACGGAGGGACAGACTTCCCTGCAGCTCGGGAACGCCGCATGCACGTCATGCCCGACGACGATGTCTTTTTCATTACTGACGTGAAGATAGACGACATGGGTGTTTACAGCTGCACTGCTCAGAACTCTGCAGGTTCCGTGTCAGCCAATGCCACCCTGACCGTGCTGGGTAAGAAACGCTTATACATCAAAGAAAAGTTTGTTAGATTATCTTTACTGCACAAGTGAACAATAAATCCAAAACGATCCCCTAGAGAAATGCACAGAAAGTTAAGAAAGTGAAATTTAAAGGAGGCAAAATTTGAAACTCTTTCACTCGGGAGCAATAAATCAAGTGGGTAAGTATAGGATATGGGACAGATACCTGGATTGGTCATAGATTGGGAGCTGGTTGCCAAACAACCAAAATGTGATTTTGTGATTGGGAGAGGAGAATTAGCCATCAGAACTCTGGAACTAGGTTGTAAATCTGCTAAGTGACTGGTCATTAAGTGGAGTTCAGAATGGCAGCGTATGCATCTTGTAAAGGAACTCTGAATGTCAGAATGCTCCTTCCTATGTTATCAGAAATAGGATGACATCATTTATGTGGTATCATTTCTTTTTGGAATCTTGTAGAGACTCCAAGTTTGGTTCAACCATTGGAAGACCGTGTTGTGTCTGTTGGTGAAACTGTGGTTCTGCAGTGCAAAGCAACTGGAAGTCCACCTCCACGCATTAACTGGCTGAAGGGTGACCATTCTCTGGCTGTTACCGAAAGGCATCACTTTACACCAGGCAATCAGCTGCTTATTGTTCGGAATGTTGTGTTAGAAGATGCTGGGAAGTATACATGTGAAATCTCAAATACAGTCGGAACAGAACGGGCACACAGCCAAGTTAGTGTATTGCCTTCACTTGGCTGCCGGAAAGATGGAACCACTTTTGGAATCATGACCATTGCTGTAGTCTGTAGCATCGTCTTAACATCTCTGGTTTGGGTGTGCATCATCTATCATACCCGAAAGAAGAGTGAAGAATACAGTGTCACAAACACAGGTTAGTCCATAATAATTGTTTTTGGTGGCCAGAACATTAAATCATAAGAAATAACCAACTCATCCTTCCAAGAGATTGCACCTTCCCTAAGCATAGCTTTATGTATCAGCGATTTGACTATTATCCTAAATATGCTTTGAATTTTACCTTGGTACAAAGCAATCTTTGCTCAAAAAATTTGAATGCTGTTAAAGTCAAATGCTATGATGCTCTTTTTTCATAAAATTGGTAAGCTCAAAAATAAGATTCAAAAAGCATTGCAGTGATTTGAATACAAACCTTATCATTATCTGCTCAGAACTGTAAAACAAAAGGCATGGTTTTAATTAAATTGTTGGTTCTGTGATATAAGTTCTTTGGTTCAGGTTAGAGTTCTTGCTCTTGAAATGTGACTCCAAAGGGGATGCAGACCTTGCTTCAATAATGACCATGATTCACCCATGGGCTGATTTTTATGGCCCATGATTAGGCCAGCAAGTTAAGAGAAAATCAGTGGCATCCCCTCTTCATTGGGAATGCAATGGGAATATCTCAGTTAATTTTTATATTGACGGAGGTAAATGTTTAGGGCAGCCCCCAGAATGCTACTTTACTTATTTCTGGAATATATAGAATCTTTCCCGGTTAATGTAATTTCCAGACATTCCCAACCATCATTTAATATTTTTTGGGGGAATATAATGGTGCCTAGAACTGGTCTCTACACCATTCCCAGTTTGTTTAGATCAGGGCTAGGCAATTACAGCCACTTTATGACCTGTGGACTTCAGCTCCCAGAATTCCCGAGCCAGCATGGCTTCTGCTGTTTTTGAATTTCAACACTATTCCTTGTATTGTGACATTGGTTTTTTACTTTTTCTCTCTTTTTCCTGTTTTTCAAGATGAGACTATTGTACCCCCTGATGTGCCAAGCTATCTTTCCTCCCAGGGGACACTTTCAGATCGACAAGAAATAGTTGGGAGAGTGGAAAATGGCCAACAGCCCAATGGCCAAATCCAGAGCAACGGTACGTTTTGGGGGAAACAGGGCTGTGTCTATTTTTATTTTTATTTTTTTTGCAAAAGATGCAGGCCAAAAACTCAGAGGTGCACTGCTATTAAAACTATTACAAATTGCTTTTCTGTTCAGAAAAAGCATAGCAATTTCTTCTACTCTTCAAGGGGGCTTACACAACTGACACATAACAAAAGATGAGAAAACAGGTAGGCTATAATAAAATAAGCAGCAGCCTATATTTGCAGTTTTGCCTGAGGAGGAAAAAGCCTTAAATCTGTAGAGTTTATCACTGATCACCAGACATTTCTGTATGTACACAGTTAGCCCTTAACTTATGACAGTTCATTTAGTGCAGGGGCGTCAAACTCAATTTCACTGAGGGCCGCATCAGCATTGCAGTTGCCCTCAGGGGCCCGGGTGGGTGTGGCCAGAGTGGGTGCAGCCTATTGGGTAGGCGTGGATGGAGTGAGTGTGGCCTACTGGGTGGGGGCGGCCACTTCTATATCATTCACGTCAAAGGTGCCTGTGGGGGCCTGGGCAGGAGTGGGACAAATCTGAGGGTCTCTGGCAGAAGGGGGTGGGACTGGGGCAAGTGCCAAGGCATGGTCCACCGGGGCAAGTGCCAAGATGGCCACCACAAAATTATACATTGGTTCCTGGTTGGCCTGGGCTAGGGCCAAAGCAGCGGGGCCCGTTCCCTCACTGTTTCCAGGATGGCTTCATGGGCCGCATCCATCCCCTGGACCTTGTGTTTGACATATCTGATTTAGTGAGACCGTTCAAAGTTAAAATGTCAGTTAAAAAAAAAAAAGTGAGCGTTTTTCATACTTATGACCATTGCAGCATCCCCATGATCAAAATTTGGATGCTGGGCAACTGGCTCATATTTATGACAGTTGCAGTGTCCCGAGGTCATGTGATCCGCTTTTGTGATCTTCTGACAAGCAAAGTCAATGGAGAATCCGGATCCACTCAACAACTGTGTCACTAACTTAACAACTGCAATGATTCACTTAACAACTGTGGCAAGAAGGCTCATAAAATGGGGCAAAATTCACTTAATAAATGTCTCACTTAAGAACAGGAATGTTGGGCTCAATTGTGGTTGTAGGTCGAGGACCACCTGTACTCTACTTCAGTCTGTCTGCTAATTATACAGCACTATACAGGTTGTCTTCAGCTTATGACCATGAAAGACATCAGGGGCAGTAAAGCTGATAATCACATTAGTACAGTTAGTCCTTACATAACAACCATTTGAAATTACAATGGACCTCCCCAGGAGTACTTATGACCTGGTTCCAAAATTCTGACACTCCCCCACCCTGCAATCATGTGTTGTGCACTTGGCAACCAGCCCACATTCACAGCCATTTGCATCAGCCCATGGTCATGTGACCGTGTTGTATGACGATTTTGCAAAACGGGCCCATAGCATACTACTGGCTTGCTTAATGACTGCGAGTTCACTTAATGTCCGTGGCATTCACTTAATAACTGCTGCAAAAAGATCCTAAAACTGCATTGGTCATATGGGTGACCTGTTTTACGACAGTCACAACTTACAAGCAGGCTCCACTACAGTTGTAAGTCAAGGGATCAACCGTAATCCATGCAGGCATCATGCAGATGTAATCTGCTAACTCCCTCAAATGAACTTTGCAGGCTTCTCTACCTGTTCCATATTCTGTAAGATGAGAATATCGTTATCTGTAAAAGTTGGCCAAGCCTGCAATTCGACAACATCTTTATCATTTGGTTACAGGTGTTTGCCAGCTCATTAGAGGAAGGGACGCAGAGGGTGATGCTCACTCTGTCATTTACCGACAGCCAAAGATATGCTTAGGCTATGATAAAGAGTCTTGGAAAGGAGAGGACATTCCCGATAGGATGCTTCTTACAGACAATACAGGTATGGAAAGTGGGCTGCTTCAATTTTCTTTCATAAAGAGACACAAAGCAAACTGGGGCAACAGTTTTTAACTTTGAAAAATGTTCATCTGTAACAAGGGACACTTTTTTTTCAGTGATACAGCCTCTCCATCTGTTTTATTAAATAGCAGACTGTCAGTAATGATTATACTGTAAAAAAAAACACCTACAGTTGTATAATTTACATATTCTCTTAAACATTTATTTATTAAAAAAAAACCTATGGAGCTGCCTGTCTCACACACATAATGATTCTGGTGCAGTTCACAACAACCAGAAAAGCAACAATATAAAAACATACTGTGGCCTTTCCACCAAGGCACTAGAACCACCGATACAGTCTTCACCCCATCCTAACCTTAGGATTATTATTGACAAGTAGAAGTTGTTAAAGAAGAAACGACGAGTAGACATGGAAGTTTAGTGTGCTTTGAGGTGTGGAGCCTGTCATTTCAAAAAGAAGAGTATAAATCTCAGAGTCTTTCAGTGATACCTTGTACTGAGTCAGGTGGGGTTTTTTATTGATATTCATAGCAACACGTAGTTATTTCAGTTAAATGTATTGGCCCACAACCCTCCAAATGTAGATGCATTTTACAAATAAGGCAGAAGAAAAATGGGTAGAGAAAGTGGCCCAAGAAGGCCATTATTTAAAGAAGAGGTAAACAAGCTTCTCCTACAGAATTCCAACACATCCGTGTACGCGCGCACACATACACACCCATGCATACATATAAGTAGCTTTCTTTTGCAATCACACCTCCAGAATTTTACTAAGGTTTATTCTTCCCTGCCACATTTCTGCCTCAGATCATACTCTCTTTGTTTGATTGTTCAGCTGCACATGTTGCTAAACCTATCTTCCTTAACTCAGTAGCAATTTCCCATTATAGAACATTTTTAATAATGGCTCATTCTTGATGGTGATGATGAGCTAATGTATACAGATTTCATGACTCACTTTTTTTAAAAAAATGCACCCAAAACTTGTTTTGCATAATTTATTATTTGTCGTAAAAAGTCCAAGCAATTTTTTCTTGAATGCTAAGGTCACTTGAAAGCATACCTCTAAATACCTTTAACGTGCCACGTGCAATAGTTGCAGAATTGGGAAATAGGAACACGTTGTTTATTTCGAGTAAAAATTGGGTTACTTGGGAAGCTATATCCATATCTTTGGCTTTTTCTGTGAAGGTGGTCCTTGACTTACAACCACAACTGAGCCCAACATTTCCATTGTTAGGCAGATACTTGTTCAGTGAGCGTTGCCTTTCTTTCTTGCTAGAGTTGTTAAAGTGAATCGCTGCAGTTGTTAACTTAATAATGTGGTTGTTAAGTGAATCTGTCTTCTCCCTTTATTTTGCTAGTCAGAAGGTTACGAAGGGGATCACATGACCCCGGGAACCTGCAGCCGTCATAAAACACATGCCAGTTGCCAGGCATCCAAATTTTGATCATGTGACTCTGGGGATGCTGCAATCATCGTAGGTGTGGAAAATGGTCCTAAGTCACTTTTCCCAATGCTGTTGTTAACTTTGAACGGTCACTAAACAAAGGGTTGAAAGTTGAGGACTACCTACAGTTCAAAAGAATTGTGGCATATGCCTACTCAGCTCTGTGGAACAATGAAGGGGGCTCTCTAGCATGAAACACAAATACAAAACTCCAGAATTCCTAACCAGTCATCCTTGTTAATTGGGAATTTGGGCCACTGACCCAGAATAATATACTTGGCCTACCTATCAGTAACGGGCAGACTCATGAAACCATTGCTATTTCTTCTACCTGAATATAATTCCAGTTTGTTACATTTGTCTTCCTTTCTACCTCAAGCCTATAGCCTGCCTGCCGCTTATACTGACTATGAGGGAAGTGTGGGTACCAAGAACGTTTATCCCAAGGATCCAGATTACTATTCTCTGGCGGCAGAGGCCAGGACTCCGAATACTTCCAGTAGCAAGGAGCCCGACAAGCATGATGGTGCACTTACTGCTAACTGTCCTAGCCCTCTAAAATGCAGCACGAATACGGACAATAGAAAACCAGATATCAGTGGCACTATTTACCCTAGCAATCATGACAGGATGTCAGCGGCTTGCCCAAGCAAGTCACCTCTAGAGGACAGCAAAGGTATGTGCCTATTTTTTTGATTTAGTTCTTAAAATACCTCCCACGCTTTTCAGGTTACCTTTGGCAGTCACTCACTCTCATCTCTCTCGTAAGGCACCTGACTACAAAGGGGGAAACTGTTTCTAGTCCCGCTTTAGGCATGAGAGCCCAATGGGGTGACCTTGAGCCAGGCACTCACTCTCAGCCCAACTCGCCACAGAGTTGTTTTTGTAGCGACAATAGAGGGAGGAAAGTGTGTTGGTTATGTTCGCTGTTCTGAGTTATTTTTAAAAAGAAAAAGTTGAGATGTAAATAAATATCTCTGCATTTAAAATGGCAAGATGGGTGACGGACAGATATATAAGCTTTAAGTAGGACTAGTCTCTTTGCTGCCATTTAGTGGCCATTTGGATTGTTCTAGCCCAGATACGGTAACCCTGGCTTAGGTCTGTTTCAAATTGGTCCATCCTTTTCCTCAAAATGATCCCTTTGTAGTTGTTATCTTGTATTTGATTTTTCTTCTAGAAGCATATAGGAGTCCTCTGGAAAATAAATAGAAAACCAAGATTGGCTCTTGTTGTTTTTCTTTTTTTAGTCAGCATTTTTGCCCAGGAGGACTGTTGGAGTGTAGAAACCAAACTATTTCTGGCAAAGAATATAAGAACTGAGTGTTTTAGTAAAGAGAAAAAAAATAGATTGCTACAGTAAACCTATTATCCAGAAATTATCATAAAACAATAGAAGAACAAATCCGAATCAAAGTTTTGCGTAGTGGTGTGGCTCAATAAGAGGATTTAGTAACCTGGAATGTAAATGAAGAGTTGACATTCCTTTAAAAATAAACATAACATTTTTATGCTTGACCCTCAAATATGAAAATAATTAGAGAAACAAAGTATATCTTGGGATATCATGTAAGACGTATGTATGTAAGAAGAGAATTTGGCTGGAATATCTGCCTCCCTAGAGCCACAAGTGCAATAGAGCAGAAGGAAGAACATTAACACAGGCTGTAGAAAAGGCCCTTCTATATTTTTTGTGGTTTGATTGTGTAAATAGCCTAAAATAGAGAGCTTATACCAACTTAACATTTGGTGATAAAATTCTGATGATCATTGTCCCTAATTCATTGATTTGGCCTCCATAAGGTTTAATTGGTCTATATATTCAGGAGAAAGGCTGAGATTAGATAATTCCTCCATACAAGTCTGATACCAACAAAATTGGCAGCTGTCTATCAGTACAACCTTGCAGAATCAAACAGGTTTCTGAAGGGTGAAGTTAATCTTGCTCCAAGCTGCCCTTAATGGTTGGTACACTAGCTTCAAGCCTCAAAACTGCATTAGGAACACATTTTGGAGACTTGAACAGAGTCCAAAGAAAGTTTGATTGAATGGTCTACAGTGCCTGTAGGTTTATAAATAGGCCAGGTTGAATGCCATACAATAGTCAAGGAGCTATTTTAGCGGTAAACAATTTAATTGCTGCTGGAATGTAATTTGCCCCAGGGTGCATATAAAACTGGGTTATAGCTAATGTAGTCCTTTGGGCAGTAGAAGTGACAGAACTACCCAAACTGCTGATCTTCTAGAAACCTGAAAGTCTATGCTGAATTACTTGAAACATTTAACTTATTCTAATGGATAAGCAAGCCAGGTTCTAACCAGGATGATCTAAGATATACTACTGCTTAGTGCTGTAATATATGGCCAATAAATATGTAAATCATTCTGATCTGACTTTATACACAGGCTTCATTGATTTTAAAGCAATGTTCAGTTAGTACTCTGAGACATATTGAGTAGATTATAAAAAAATCAAAATGTTTAGCTTTCTCTGATATAAGACGCACAAGTGATAATTGATTCTCATGCACTAGAAACGATTGCTCAGGTCTGCCAAATGGTTGCAAAAGTTTCCTTATTTAAAGCAGGCCTCGATCAAATTAGCAATAGGATTTAGACTTATATACCGCTTCACAGTTCTTTACCGCCCTGTCCAAGCGATTTACAATGTCAGCATATTGCCTGCAACAATCTGGGTCCTCATTTTACCGACCTCAGGATGAAAAGCTGAGTCAACCTTGAGCTGGTGAGGATTGAACTCCTGACAGTAAGCTCAGTTAGTCTGCAATACTGCATTCTAACCACTGGGCCATCATGGCTCTAAAGACAATTCTGTATCACTAGCCCCTATGGGTGGGGGGAAGTCAGAGATTTCTGCTGAATTTCCAAATCTTGTGTTGGGTGAGAACCACTAGTGAGGCTGGGTCTCTCTTTATGGACTATAGCAGTGATGGCGAACCTTTTAGACATCGAGTGCCCAAAAACCTTCCCGCCCCCCACTTGTCACCACTCTGGCCTGCCCTGCCCCCACCCTTCCGCCCGCAGGGCCACCTACTGCCTCCATGGCCTGGTGCAGCAGATTGCTTAGGCGGCCCTGCAGCACCATGATGGCCATGCCCTCCACCCACACCATGCATCATCTGCGCGTGATGGGGCGTGAGGGCGGAATCTTGTCCTTGCTACCCGGCTGCCATGTCCTTGGCTGTGCTGCCCCACTCAGGCTACATCCGGGGGCAACTCTCCTCTGAGGAAGGGACCATGGGGGGAGGCAGGGCTGGGGCGATGGCGCAGGTGCCACAGAGAAGGCTCTGAGTGCCACTCACGCGTGCCATAGGTTCGCCACCACTGGACTATAGAAATACTTTATAGCAGGGTGGGCAATTTTCCCAAAGGACCACATGAGCCACTGGGACTGTTGTGGAGGACCAAACCAACAGCTCCTGGTTGTGCTCTGCCCACTCATTTGCATGGCCATGCTTCGACTAAGGCAGTGGTGAGTGGCCGAGCCCATGTCTCCTCACATGACTGTTACCACCGCCGTGTCAGGCTGCTTCAGGTGAGGGGTAAGTGCTGTGCAGCTGCAGAAAAGCGCTTTCTCTCCTTGCTCTCCTGCATTCGCCAGCCAACTGAAGGAGCGCAGTTTTTCCTCCCGCCCTCGTAGCACATTTATTTGCATGTGATTTCTAATTTCCAACTGACCTCTAGCAGGCTGGACAGGGACAGCCCAAAGGCCTGTGGACCATGAAAGGCCCAGGTCTGCCATACAGCAAACGTTCTCTGGCATCAAATACAGCCCAAGTTAAATTGTGAATGGAAAAATCAAAGCCAGATACAAATAAGATTAAGCAGAATTAGATTTTACTTATACTTAGGCCTCTGTACAGAGAAAGAGGAGGTGGTAGAAATTAAGAGCATAGTTTGAGAAACTCTGTCCTTAAACGTTCTTGCTTTTCATTGTCTTACAGGTCCTTCACAGCTCTTGGCCGACTGTGAGCCTTATAACTGTTTATTGCCTGGTGAAGGCTCTCTGCTACACCAAAAAGAAAGTGCTGAACTATCTGAGGCATTACCTGGGGGAGAAGTGCAGCCACGGCTTGTCTCCAATGGGCATTTAACAAGGTCACTCACCTCACTCCCGGAGTCCAGCCACTGAAAGGCTGACAAGGGACCCAGGAAACTTGCGAGCGTGCTCCCTCTGTCTCTCCCACTTATTTGCACAGAATTATCTAGGCTACTTCTACCTCAAAGTCTGAATGGACAGCTTTGCAAATTAAAGAAAAAGTGACAACTCCATGAGGTATAAGAAGCAAGCTTGAGTAAGGGAACAGAGCACTGTTTCTGCGTTGCCCGCTTGTAAATAGTTGTTAAAACTTCCCTGAGAAGGATCAGTGGCTCCATGTTGGCTTGCAGATAAAGCACAGAAATGCAAAATGTTACGATGTAAAGTGAAAGAAGTATTTGATAACAAATGTGTACATAAGAGTTTTCATATATATATATATATATGAAATATATATTTATAGATATTTATATATATAAATATCTATAAATATATATATATCTTTTAACAGAGGCTGTTTTATCCCTTGGTGCATGTGTGACTGAGTGAAATTATATAATGCTGACAATATGCATTGTTTTTTCATTGTTAACAGTTTTTTCTATTTTTAAATCTTTTCCACCCATCTCCAAGATAAATAGTTCTGGTGTCGTAGTTAAAACTTTTGAGGTTGGGACCACAAACTTTACATAGGGAAGATCACACTGATAAAAATGCCCTTTCTATGGTAACCCACTGTAAAGGTGTGCTATTTGAGAGAAGTGCTCTACCTTCAAGAGCTGAACACTTAACCTTCAAAATGTGTGCATGCACAAGTGACATTTCTATTGAGACTACAAGCTGAAGAACTGTGTGTAGGCTCAGACATGGAGCTGAGGAGAGTGTTCAAGCAGATTAGGTGGAATGTGTCATTTGCCCCAGTGTTCTTTGCCAATCACCTCTCAAATAGCTAGCATTGAACTGGTTCGTTAGTTTATCTTCTCAGAGATATTGATAGCACAATGGTGGACAACACATTTCTTCTGTAAACTTGATCCCAAGTGAATCCATAGGATTGTAATGCTCTGAGCTTAAAGCAAACTAAAGTCTGCTCTTGTAACATTGCTGTGCAGGGGTAAGCCAAATGCTCCAAGGATATCTCCAATACCTACTTTTTGAAACATGACTGAATCAATGGCAGAGTTTCTAGTTGGTGTAAATTGGCTTGCGCCAGAGGAGGGAGTGGCAGTATACAGGAATTTTTTAGGACACATTGAAACATTCTAGCACTATGGTGCCTTGTGGAATATATGCCTATCTATACAGTTTCAACCTTAATATAGATGCAAGCAATCTTGTGTAAAATCCTGACTTCTGTTTAAATATTAAATGTTCATTGCACTAGCAATGATCCTTGTGGAACAACATTTAACTGCCAAGCTCCCCTCAAAAAGCAGAAGGAGTAAGAAGATTATAGAGACATCCTCATGCTGTTTTATTTCTCATAGGAAGTTATTGTTTTCTCTTGGCACCTTGGCACCATTTTTAGAGATTTCAAAATATATTGCTAATATTGCTTATGCAGTAACCTGACACACTGAACAATCCTTTTGCACACGCACACCTAATTTCCTTTTCTTTTCAAGTCAGACTTAGAATTCAGGTTCATAGATAGTTGCTCAAATTCTGAAGGTCTTCTCTGTATTGAGAGAGACTTTTGACTTAAGATCTATCAAGGAGAATTATTCAAAAAGCGTGGATCCCCTTAGGCTACTCTGCTTTAATTTTTATACAGTTTTAAGTTCAGTTAAGTGTTCAACACAAATATGAACACATACATAAAAACTGTTTTTATAACCTAAGAGTGGATTTTAAAAATAAAATTGCTATCTTTTTTTTATATTGGTACTATGTAGTTCCCAAAAGTCAATTCTCCAGCCCACTTGACCAATTGTAGCTCTGACCCAAAGTTGGTAAACATAGGTTAGGACATTGTCTGTAGGGCAACATCAAGTTGTGTGTGTTCTTCTCCTTATTTTCTTTACCTTGACTTAAAGGCCAGTTTCAGAGAAATAAAGATAGGAAACGTGATTTAGTTTAGGATATTAGGAGTTCGTATTAGGGACATAATATAACAAATGCTTTATTTGTGGGAAGGGCAGAATAGACTTGATCTACTCTGAAAACCAAGAAAAGCTTTTTGGTATGTTCTTATATTTACAGATTGACTGTAAAGGGAACTTTGACACCAGATTTTTCTCCTGGAACTCTATTAAATAGGCATTAGAAGGCCATCTGGCACAGGTTATTTCTCTGTTGTGAGGTTTAGTATCTTGCTACAGCAACTGGATAGGAAACAGCCAGAGGCTTTGGTGTGCCATGTGCAAGCCTTTTTCTACATAATTTTGTGAGCAGAGGGCTTTCTCTAATTAATAGGAAAGCTGTGGTAAAACATACTCTCTCCCTTTAAGTAAGGGAGAGCTTTTAAATATCTGATTACTATGGCATCAAATTACTCTTCCTTCTCCTTCAGTTGGCAGATGTATAGCTTTATAAGACAAGTTTTGTCATCTGCTTTTTAGCTGAACCTGGACTTTCTGAAGTAATGCATCATTTCATCATCTCCCTATCTCCAGACAATTAAACATACTCGGACTTTGGAATAGGAGTCCAATGATATAAGGTGCCAACTTGTAGCTTATTTGGTGATTTTAAAGAAAAAGGGTCAGCTAATAGGGAAACATATTCAGGGTGCATTGTTTGTCTTGTTCATAAAGAGAGTAAGTGACATGCTTTCTAAAGAAAAGTGAACTTGTAAAGGTTTGGTTACTAGATGAAAAAGGTAAAGGTGAAGATAAATGGGGAAAGGCATAGGAAAAAGGTATCACCATTGGAATTGCTAAGCACATTTGCCATATTAACATTTTGGGAAATTTAGTTTTGGATGTTTAAATGTTACTTCCACTAAATATGTGAATCTGCTGCTTCTGAGAGGCAATGTGAAAGAGGAAGTATTAATTTTTGTGTAAAAAGTTATTTATTTATTACACTAATATGGTACAATGTTGTACATTGAGAATACATTGTAAAGATATTGGAAGTGTTTAACAAATGGCATTGAAGTGTCTTTAATAAAGGTTCATTTATAATATCAATTATTCTGCCTTGATTAATTAATCTGCTTTTTTTATGTAATTTGGTTTTGAGAGAAGTAAAATGAAATTCTGCATTGCTATGCTTCCTGGATTTTGAAGACTTTTTACAAGGCTATGACTGTTTCATAATCCACTAATAATGGGTTAGGATGACCAAATGGAACTTGTGTTTGAATATCAAGAGTATTTATAGCTCAGAGTTAAACAATGAGATTCTTAGTGCTTTCTTGAGTTTGATTGTTTTGTTGCAGATGTTTTACTATCCAAGTAGTGGTAGAAGGGAGTGGGATGTGAGTATCAAGAACCTCACAGTTGTATTTAAATAATTAGGATCATGGACATGGTCCATTTCTGAGTCATTCACTAGTTCAATGAAATACCTGTTATCTTTAATGAGTTTGGGGTGATTTAATTGCCAATTTTAGCCAATGTCCTACTATCTTGTCTCTAATGCTGTTGTCACCCAGAATCATCCAGTTCCTACTGGAAGAGTCAGATCTGGTTAGTCCATGGATACAGGACTATTTGGAAAATTTAGGACTGTAGGATAAACTGGTGGTGGTGTTTTTTTAAGTGTTAACTTTGGAGAATTGCAATAGCTACCCATTAACAGAAAACTGCTTAGAAGTGTCTGTGTTATATCACCCAGAATTGAACTCAGCTTGAAGGAGATGTCTTCTGAATGACAAGAAACCTATACCTTAACCACCAATTAGGTGGTTTCCTTGAGCAAAAGACAGTCTCACTTATATTTCTACAACCTTACATCCAATTCTGCAACGTCTGGGCTGGAAAGAAGCTTGGTGTGAGTTCAACAGTGCCTACTTTTGAGTAAAAAGTATAGGATCACTGAGTTAAACTTTTGTTGTTGTTAATTGCGAAGTTGTGTCTGACCCATCGCAACCCCATGAACAACGTTCCTCCAGGTCTTCCTGTCCTCTACCATCTTCTGGAGTACATTTAAGTTCACACCTACTGCTTCAGTGACTCCATCCAACCATCTCATTCTCTGTCGTCCCGTTCTTCTATTGACCTCAATCTTTCCCAGCATTAGGCCCTTCTTCAGTGAGTCCTTCCTTCTCATTAGATGGCCAAAGTATTTGAGTTTCAACTGGCCTTCTAAAGAGCAGTCGGGGTTGATCTCTTCTAGGATTGACCAGTTTGAACGCCTTGCAGTCCAAGGGACTCACAGGAGTCTTCTCCAGCACCATAGTTCAAAGGTTAACCAGCAACTCTGAAGGGAAGACATACAAATTCTGCAGGAGATAGTATGAGGTCAGCAGAGGACTTTTGAAATGGCTGGATTTCAAGAAGCCGACACAAAAATTAACTCACTAATGAAAGAAAGCAAGAAAATATCAATAGGCACTTTTCTTAGTTTATGTCAGGCTCCCTTCCCTTCCAGGGTTATTTTTTTAGATTCTTTTAATTAAAGTAGCTAAGTGGAACTAGCCTGCTGCACAATGAAATGCAAACAACATTTTTGTTTTCAGTGCCTACATAGGCCCTATAGGTATTCTTCGAAAATGCAAATAGTGAACGGCAACAATCCAAAGCTTGGTCTGGAAGTATACCCATCAGGCAAAACCCAGGTAGACAAAAGTAATCTGGGATGAATAGCTCTTGGGGTGAGCCATCATTATGGCAGTCAAGGTCATATATTGGAGTTGGGATGCAGCTCAAAATAGCCCAGATGGTGGCATGCAATCAAAACCTTACAACCCTATGACTTTTGACCCTCCTTAAGGATTTGCAAGAGTGCCCTAAAAATTCCCAATGTGTTCTTCAGCCACCAAAGCCACCTTGCCCCTGTGCACTGTGCTCTCTTTGGACTCAGCATCTGTTGTGGTCCATCACTATCCCACTCTGCCTCTCAAACAAGGTCACTCATTTTTGTGACTGTCCCTGGAGAACAGGAATTGAGATTCTTCCCCTTTCTGGATATCTTCATTTTTTCACCTCCTGAAAAACTGATTCTTTGGAAGCAAGGGATGGGAAAGAAAAGAAAAAAAATGAGCTTGCTCTTTTTTTCATGGGCAACCTTGTTAGGCGGTAAAATAATACAACATTGTACTCAATCAGTACTAAAGAAATTTGAGTCTAATTAAAAAAGGCAGTCTTGCTTATCCAAGCAAGAATGCTGGCTATGCACCTGTAGGTATGAACAGTGGTCTAGATTTTCCAAATGGGTTTCAAACAAGAAACAAATGGCTTTTTCCCCTTCTATACATTTTAAAAGAAAGAAAAAAAATCATTGCTTCTTCGGTCTCTCCTCCAGAGCATGGCAAGTCTTCAGTCATGTTAATGATGCTGTTTTCTTCTCTGGGGTGACTCTGTTGCCATTCTATGATGAATATGTGTGGCTGCTATGCCATGGAGACCAAGCTGTCATTTGCACATCACGCTCCCTAAAGTGACTGCTAATGATAATGCTTTTCAGTCCCTTGGCTGGAGCCCCTAAGTAAGTTCTTTGCCCCCCAAAGTTGAATTTTTTGGCAGACTCTTCTCCATGAGCTCACCACTATAGCAGGACTCTCCATACATGGCATTTTTGTTAAGGAAATGGAATTACAGGCTTTCTTGTTCTTGTTTAAATAGGGAACATGAAGTCTGGGCTTCTGAACAGCTGCTGAGCCACAGGAGGTAGGAATGGCAGGGAAAGGGGGAAGGGAAAATGGGGGGGGGAGAGGAGAACAGAAATGTGTGGGAAGTAAAGGAATAACTTTCATGAATATGTGTTTTCTCTTAGAATTAAGGAGGACTGGCTGGGTGGAATAATGTCTCCACAGCTGTTCCTCTTGACCAAAATCATAAAAGTAAGCTTCGGATCTTGTCATACATCCCAAGAAAGATAAAACCTCCAAGGCTGATTGAAGAGATTCGAGGGACGATGCCGGAAAACAAGCTGGAAGAAAAGAACAAAAGTCATTTGACATCTTAGAAGTTCTACCACTAGGATGTTCTCTCATTCCACTCCCACAAATACTGTAGAGAGGTTCCCCTCCATTTTAAAACTGCTTCCCTGAATGTCAACTTGAGTTCAATTTATTTGTAATTGACGGCTGCATGAGAGCAGATTTGGGAGCAAGGCTTTCTGAGATGGGGTCACTTTAGTGAGGAGAGAGTTGGGCCCTTTCCTACCTCAAAAATGCACCATCTAGTTCAGTGGTTCTCAACCTTTTTAATGCCGCGACCCCCAACCGGTTGTAAGTCGAGGACTACCCAACCGGTCGTAAGTCGAGGACTTTCCCTGCCCGGGAGCACCGCGCATGCGTGGTGCCACCCCCTGCGCCAGCCAAGGTGTAGCTGGCAAGCGGCAGAGACGGCACAGGCCAACCACCGGCTGGGCCACCAGCTGGCCCAGCCCAAGGGAGGTAAGACACCCGCCGAGCCCCACGCGCGCCAGCAACCCTCCCTGCACCTGCCGGCCTCCCACCTCCCACCCCTGGCCCTCTTTTACTTACAATTTTAGTAGTTGCTCAGTAGGGAGGGGTGGAAACCTCCAGACAGCTCGCCTTTGCTGCAGACAACTTGAAGCACTGTTTGCAGAATGGGATTTTTGGTGGGCTCAGCAGGGCAGAGACAGCCTGGACAATTCCTATTGGCTTTTGAAAGCCAATAGAATTAGACTCTATTCAAGAGAGTCTATTCTATTGGCTTTCAAAAGCCAATAGAATAAAAGGAAGTAGTACAGCTAAGGAAAAGGGGGAAAAATGACGGACTGCGTTGTTTGGCGACCCCCGTGAAATGGTCGTTCGACCCCAAATGGGGTCCCGACCCACAGGTTGAGAACCACTGATCTAGTTGCAAGCTTCATGTCAAAAAGTGGCACACCAGGGGCCACAAATAAGCTGAGGCCATCACTGTCCTCTCCAAAATAGGGCTCCCCTATACAGTCCCCAACAAGTCCAAATAATGTGACAGAAAAAAAGAAAATAATCAAATATAAGAAAGTAAATCAATTTTTAATGTTGAACTCTGGTCCAAATCAAGTTCTTGTTCATGTGTCCAAAATAACATTTTCTTTCAAATTCTGAGAGATGAGTTTATATAAATTCTGCACATGGGTGTTTCCCGATATCCAAAATGTGTGGGTTTATCTCATAAAATATATCACTGAATTATTTTTCACAACAGGCTTCTGCATGTTTCCTGAAAGATTCATGGATTTAAAAAACTTAGACAAGCATGGGCAAACCAGACAATCACAAGGGGGTTCATGAGAACTCAAACACAAATTGAATACTGGGAAAATAATAAAAGAACAAATAAAAGGAAGAGGGTCATTCCAGTGAAATAGATACACTAACCCTTTACTCATAATCCATCCTTGCTCAAGGTTTGGGAAAAGAGCCACAACTTCAAGCCTTATTGAAGGGAGCATAGGATTGGGGTTGCTGCAGCACCATGCTTCCTGGTCCCATCAAATGACACTGCTTTACATGTGCGACCTGGAGCATGTGCCTTCTGTTGGAACTTAAAAGATGGGAGAATGGTGACAGCCACACCTTATGTTAGGGATTTGTAGACAATAACCAGTACCCTGAACTGTACCTGGAAACCTACCAGTAACTACTGCAGTTCACAAACAAGGTGTTACATAGGCATACTGTGGTATGCCCGTTGATCCCACATTCTGGATTAACTGAAACTGATGCATTTCCAAGACAGCTCAAAACACAGCATATTGTAGTTGTCCATATATGAAGTAAACAAGGCATGAGTAACCATGAAAAGAGCCTTCTGGTCCAAGAAGAGGAACAGCTGACACACAAGACAAATCTGTTCAAAGGCCTTCTTGGCTACGGCTGCTACCTGATTTTCAAGCAAGAGCTGAGAGCGCAGGAAGACACCCAAATTGTGTGCCAGTTTTGCCTGGAACGGTGCAATTCCACTCAGAAGTAAACCAGGACATCAGAAGAATTATGAATCCACAGCCAGTCAGTCTTATCAGAGATCAGCTTAAGCCTATTCTTTAGCATCGGGACCCTGATATACTG